GGCCCAGTTTGCTTGTGGGTATTGAGGGAAGTAACTGAAAGCCTCCAAGAGTCTAGCAAGTAGCATTGTTCCCTCTCTGACCCTTCCCCCACATAACGCAGTGCCAGAACGCAGTGACGTTGGTTTCCCTGCCCTGGTGAATACCTAAGCCTAAGCCTCTGACCCTTAAAATGCAATGGGTGGGCCAAGACAAAGAAATATGGCCCAAATGAAAGAACAGATCAAAGATCCAAAAATAGAACTAAGTGATGAAGAGATAGCCAACCTATCAGATGCAGAGTTGAAAACACTGATAATCAGGATGCTCATAGAAATGGTTGCATATAGTTGCAAAATAGAGGAAAAAGTGAAGGCTATGCAAAGTAAAATAAAAGAAAATATACAGGAAACCAACAGTGAAGGGAAGGAAACCAGGACTCACATCAATGATTTGGAGCAGAAGGAAGAAATAAACATTCAACCTGAACAGAGTGAAGAAACAAGAATTCAAAAAAATGAGAAGAGGCTTAGGAATCTCCAGGACAACTTTAAACCTTACAACATCTGAATCATAGGGGTGCCATAAAGAGAAGAGGAAGACCAAGAAATTACTTGAAAGCATAATGAAGGAGAATTTTCCCAATCTGACAAAGGACATAGGCTTCCAAGAAGTCTAGGAAGCTCAGAGTCCCAAAGAAGTTGGACCCAAGGAAGCACACACCAAGGCACATCATAATTACATTGCCCAAGATTTTTAAGGATAAGGAGAGAATCTCAAAAACAGCAAGAGAAGAGGAGACAGTTACCTACAAAGGAGTTCCCATAAGGCTATCAGTTGATTTCTCAATAAAACCTTGCAGGCAAGAAGGGGCTGGAAAGAAGTATTCCAGATCATGAAAGGCAAGGACCTACATCCAAGATTGCTCTTTCCAGCAAAGCTATCATTTAGAATGGAAAGTCAGAAAAAGTGCTTCCCAGATAAGGTCAAATTAAAGGAGTTCATCATCACCAAACCCTTATTATATGAACTGTTAAAGGGATTTACCTAAGAAATAGAAAATAAAAAATATGAACAGTACAATGACAACAAACACAACTATCAACAACTGAACATAAGAAAAACAAAAACAAACTAAGCAAACAACTAGAACAGGAACAGAATCACAGAAATGGAAATCACATGAAGGATAATCGGTGGGTGGGGAGAGGAGGGAATGGGGGAAAAGGTACAGGGAAAAAGAAGCATAAATGGTAGGTACAAAATAGTATGGGAAATGGAGAAGCCAAAGGACTTACATGTATGACCCATGAATATGAACTATGGTCCCGGAACTGGAATGCTGGTGGGTGGGGGCTGGGGGAAAGGGAAGATGGAAATAAAGGGGAGAAAAAAATAAGACAACTGTAATAGTATAATTAATAAAATATATTTAAATGTATATATAAAACATTAAAAAATAAGCTCCGGTTCTTTGGAGCTTGTTAGGTCTGCTGCAGGCCCACACAGCTCCTAGACCATCGTGGATGTGTGTGTTCCTGGGCAAGAGAGAAAGACTCTTGTGGTGGCAAGAGTGCAAGAGTGCAGGAGGCAAGTGCATTTCACTGAGCAAGAGAGAGCTTCTTTGTTAAGTTGGTTATATTACCTTTGGCATGGGAAGATCCAGGTGCTTCTTCATAATAACCAGTCAACTTCCCAAGCTCTTGAGGGATTCTGATGGGTCCACGTCCTAGCAAATGGTCACTTTCTCAGGTTGGACTGACAGGTCTCTAAGGTCAAGCACCTCCACCAGCCTCCCTGCCCCTAAAACAATCTAGTAGTGGAGTGGGGAAAGGAGGGATGTTAATCCCCTTGGAGGAACAATGCTGATATTCCCTGGGTTGTATGAAGTTGTAGCTTCCTGGCTAAGCAAGCAGGCTTATGCTTCCCAGTCCATTGGGCTCAACAATGTCCAATTCTCTCTGCTACCTCCTTTATTAATATCTAGCTAACTTCCAACAGTAACAATTCCTCAAAATGTTTTTTTTAATCTAACACCACTATTTTTCATATATTTACTATTTTTTGGTGTTTCTTTTTTCTTCTATTCAGTCATGCTTTGCCCAGGATTTGGTGTCAGTTGGTAGTTGTACAGATATTTTCTGTACCACCTATGAAGTAACATTTTTTTTCTCAAAATAGTCAGGCCTTTAGATTTAAACTTTACTTTACAGGAAACACATGGAATAAAAATTACTTAATGACAAAACCAAAGAGTGGGAGAAATCCAGAATGTGGGATATTACAACAACTGACCTGATTCCTCAATAGGTCAAAGGACAGAAAAAGAATGAAGGCATAGTATTCAAGAATAAATGCACCTGAGTGGATAAATAAAATGAGTAGACTCTGTACATTGATTTGAACAAACCAGTTGTGAGAGGTTTTTTAGGTACTTATTTTAGGGTAAGGAAGTGCAAGAGATAGAGACTTGTTGTTCCACTTATTTATCCGTTTATTGGTTGCTTCTTGTATGTGCACTGACTGGTAATAGAACTCACAACCTTTGTCCATCGAGACAACACAGCAATTGAGCTACCTGACCAGGGCTAGTATTGGGAAGTATTAAAGAATTACTGGTAATTATTTTATTTGGTGTGGTAAAGGTATCATGGTTTTGAAAGAAAAGATTTTTTTATCCTCAAGATTTTGTCACATAATAAAATAAAATATGAAGCTTAGAAATGGATTATTTGGCCCTTTTTCTTATCTTCTTCCAGTTCAAAATGCATGCATCTCTTAACCTGGCCAGTGTGGCTCAGTTGGTTGGAGCATCATCCAATAACCAAAGGGTTGAGGGTTGGATTCCTGGTCAGGGACATACCTAGGTTGCAGATTATGATTCCAGGTCCAGGTGCATACAATCCCTGGTACAGACCTGTAGAGGATTCTCCCTTCCTCTCTCTCTAAAAGCAATGAAAAAATGTCCTCTGGTGAGATTTTTTTTTAAGATTTTATTTATTTATTTTCAGAGAGGGAAGGGAGGGAGATAGAGAGAGAGAGAGAAACGTCAATGTGCGGTTGCCGGGGGTCATGGCCTGCAACCCATGCATGTACCCTGAGTGGGAATTGAACCTGCGACATTTTGGTTCGCAGCCCGAGCTCAATCCACTGAGCTACACCAGCCAGGGCTCACTGGTGAGATTAAAAAAAAAAAAGAATGCTTGCATCTCTTAATAGCCGGCATCCTATTAGATCTACAAGTAGGCTCAACACATTCTAGCCTCAGCACAATCTTCTGAGCCTTTAGCCTTTTTATGGAAAATTGGCTTAGTCTGCCCACCATTGCTACCCTGAGAAGAAATGTTTTTCTAAAAAGATTTTATTTATTATTTACTTTTAGAGAGAGGGGAAGGCGGGGAGAAAGAGAGGGAGAGAAACATCAATGTGTGGATGCCTCTCATGCACTCCCTACTGGGGACCTGGCCCATAACCCAGGCATGTGCCCTGACTGGGAACTGAGCCAGTGACCCTTTGGTTTGCAAGCTGGCACACGATCCACCGAGGCACACCAGCCAGGGCTGTTTTCTTAAATACCTGCAATGGAGCTCATTTTGTTTGCCATAACAACTAATATTTTTTAAAAAGTTCAAAATATCTCTCTGTTATAGACTCATCACTGTTTGTATTGCCAATTTGGAAATTCTTAGCATATTGGAATGAAGAATTTAATTCCACAAAACAGTGTGAAGAAATCTTAGGTGCCTTGTGGATTACAGGAGGCAAAGGAATTCTATTTATTCCTTTCTTCTTTCCTTCTCTTCTGAGTTGCAGAGCTTGGACACCGAAGACTGAGAATTCCTACCTACTTACCTCCCTTCGCAGGATCTTTTTTTGTCCATATCAACATAGGTATTCAAGGGTCATTAGCATGTCTTTACTATTCCAGGTGATTGCTGCCCAAGCAGAGCTAGATTGCTTATTACGGAAGGTCCACAAACAACCATCAACTCTTCCAAAGAAAGTATCAACAGTTTGCACCTAAAGATTCCTTACCTAGCCCTGACTGGTGTGGCTCAGTGGGTTGGTCATCCTCCCGCAAAGCAAAAGGCCGCAAAGCAAAAGGTCGCAAAGCAAAAGGTCGCAGGTTCAATTTCCAGTTGGGGCACAGGCCTAGGTTGCTAGGCAGGTCCGCATAGAGGACGTTAGGCAACCCATCAATGTTTCTCTTAAAAAAAAAAAAAAAAGAAAGAAAGAAAGAAAGATTCCTTGTCTACAAAAATCCTTATTGTTCAGTAGGAATCCTCGACAAAGCACTATGGCCGTTACACAATTCTAATCAAGTCCCTGGCAATGAAAGATGCCTTAAACCAAATTTACAATTCTCAATAACTTGCAACCTTGCCTTCCAGGCTCTTACACTTTCTTGTTCTGGTGTCAAAGCTTTGTGCAGGCGCTGTTCTCCCTTACCGCAAAAAGCAATGATCTCTGTTTTTATTTTACCAACAGGTGTGCTGGTGATATTTGGGGAGCGGGCATTTGAAACAAGTTTGAGATCCAGTGTTCCTTTTGTTCTGTTGAGGCAGATCAGATTAAGTCACTTACTTTTACGTTTCCAATATTTACCCTATTCTTTGCTTTCCCTAAAACATTTGGTTTTAATATTATTTTCATAGTTCAGGCTTCGCTCTTCTCTCTTATACGGCCACAGTTTCAAAAGTCCGCAATTATTTTCACATAAGCTTTAAGAAATGAATGAAGCAAAAAACAAACACGACAGTTAACAGCGCCAGATAATGGAGTGAAACCAAATCCTCCACCAAAACACGCTCGCTGGCCAGCAGGTGGGTAGCTAGTCCTGCGAGCTGCATTCTGGGAAATGAAGTACAGGAGTGCGCGAAGTAAGGGGCGCTCCCCTGGGGATTCTGGGAAGTGTAGTCCAGAAATCGTATGTAGCCTGAGGCACTTCCGCTCCCGGAAGGCGATGTCGGGGTTGACAAGTCGCACAGTGAGGTGAGTTAACCCCGCGCCCCGGCGATCTCTGTGAACCTTGTTTTCCTCGGCTTGGAGTGAGCGGTGATTAGGTCCTCCCTCCTGAGCAAGGGAAGCCGCGGCCAGCGGGCAGCGGCAGAGGGCAGACATGGAGACGACGGCGGTGAGCATCCGCTCGGCTGAGCCTTCCGAATCTGGGGTGGGCTTGCGTGGTAGGTGCAGTTCGAGGGTCTCCGGCGCTCGCCGCTCCCCCGGCCTCTCTGCAGGACACCCCAGACATCTGCCTCTTTCTCGCTGTCATATATCGGGCGAGTTCTTTGATCTGTCCTTGCCTCAGTTTCCTCATTCAAAAAAGGGTTAGTCCTTCCCAGTGGTATTCTTGTGGGAATTAAGTGAGGTTGTGTATAAGCAACTTAAAAATAGTGCCTAGTGCATTGTGAAGTGTTGGCCGTTCGCCATAAATTCCCTTGTAAGACTCAGAGAGGAGCCGTGCTACTTGGAAGCTCGTGCCAGCCAGAGTGAGGTGGGAGCTCACTGATCCTGCCTAATGTGGGGCTGTTTCTGCACCTGGACTCTTTCGAGCTTCTTATTTGTGGGAGGAGAGTGAACTTCAGCCTGGGTTCTGGAGAAAGTCATCTGTGGATTTTTCCAGACCCAGAAACCGTGACCTCGGCTCTGCAGAGTACCTAACTGCCCGATAGTGAGGCCTTAATAAGTGTGCGCTACTGTATAATAAGCCGCTCTTGTTGACTTAACTGCAACGGGATTTCTTAAGCTTAGGTTTTTATTAGCCATTATTTACCTTCTTGTATATGGGAGAAGAAACTTTGTTGAGACTTTTTCAGCTTAATAACATTTGCAGCGAATTACACCTGTTAGGAGGGGAAAAGATTCGTGCAAATTTACCAACAGGGGGAATTTTATATATGAGATAACCAGTCAAAATTAGATTTTTCTAACGGTAACTCACAGGACAGATCATCTCTGAATTCTGGGTTTCTTAAAAGAGCGATTTTTCTGGAAATCGCATTTGCAAGAGCAGTTTTAGGAATCCTAGACTACTGCTTGCCTTTACCTGCAGGATGCAGGGAACACCGGCATTATTATCCCCTTTCCAGGTGACTGGAATGAGGCGCAGAGAGATCAATGACTTGCTCAAGGTTTACATCGCTGAGGAGTAGAAAGTAATAAGTAGAAATGGCAGAATTTGAACCCAGGCATTTTGGGTCCATTAAGGTTATATTGCCTGCCTGCCTGCCTGCCTGCGTCTCATTTCCTCTAATACCCAGGCTCAGGAATACTCTGGAAGCTACAAGAGGCACTCAGGTTAGGGCTGTTTTAAGGAATGTTCATGAACAGCGGCAGCTGGCTGTGGGCGTAGAGGAAGCTGGGGTCCAGTCCCTGTTCTCACTCAGCTTTGTTGCCACTGCTTCTGCCTAGAGAAAGGGGCACCTTTGTGCCCCCATGAAATGCCAAGTAGCCTAGCAGCATCCCTAGCCTCTCTCTCATGATGGCTTTCCCTTCCCAGTTCTACATCCAGAACTCTGCCTTTCCTGGAAACGAAGAGGAGAAAAATGACCAAGTTCCGGGTAAGTTGGGGGTATGCCTTTCTGTTTCTTAAAATGACATCTCATTCCACAAAGTTTGGCACATATTTCTCCTGCTTGGGAAGGGTAGAAGGGAACCAAAAGCACCTGAAATATTGTTATGCCAGGCTCTTGCTTTTTGCTTATTTCCAAATAATAGTGTGAAAGTTAATAGGTATTTTTAAAATTATTTTACTTATTTTTAGACAGAAGGGAAGGGACGGAGGAAGAGAGGGAAAGAAGCATCAATGTGTGGTTGCCTCTCATGTGCCCCCTACTGGGAACCTGGCCGATAACCCAGGCATGTGCCCTGACTGGGAATTGAACCAGTAACTCTGGTTCTCAGGCCAGTGCTCAACCCAGTGAGCCACACCAGCCAGGGTAATGCGTATTTTTTAAAAACTCAAAAGAACTCTCACTTTATAAATATGTTTACAAATTTGCTGTTTATTTTCCCACATTCGTTTTCATTTGCATTTACATGCATATATTTGTAATCACAGCTTAGCCATTTTGGGTGTTTAAAGGTTAATTTTATATCACCTATGACTTTGGCCACATCATTTTCCATAGTACACCTAATATTCCCCCCCCTTTTATGTAGTTTATGAATTTTACTATTTTAAAGATGTTTGCAATGATAGTTTTTCTACATATAACCTTTCTTCCCAAATAGGAGTTCTGAGAATTCTCCCATTTTTTTCTCTCTTCAAAGTTCTAGGGATTTAGTTTTCTGCGGCATGGAGCCTTACATTTTGTGGAGAGAGTGTGTAAAGTATGGCTGTTTGTAACGGGGTCCAGCTGATAACTGAACTCAGAGAAAAGCATTTTAGTTGTTTTCAAACAAGAACAAGACTCTGTCTTTAATTCTAAGTTAAACCATGTATATATCATTGTTAAATATCTGTTTTATTCATTGACATGCTAGTGTATTTTAAAGAAGCACATCCCTGGTCTAGGAGTGCCTGGTCTAGCACTTGCCTGGCCTTTATTGCATGGAACCTCTGTGTGAGGATACAGATGGTCTTGTTCGCATTTTAACATGAACAGATTTGTAAACTTTCAGATACCTACTGAAGTCTGCTCCGTCCCCAGCTGCTGACACTTGTTAACCTAAAGATAAAAGGCCAAAGTGAGAGGCAACAGACTTTCATTTGATCCAAAAGAAGGAGCTACTGGGGAGCAGAGATTCAGGGAGAAACCATAACAGTATTACTGTTAGGAGACAGAGAGAAGGGGGATAATTACATGAATAGAAAGGAAACATTTCCTTGGGTGTTATTAAGCTAAGGATGGAATTTCTACAGGTGCAGATAAGCTAACATGGTGATGCTCATCCTAAAGAATGTCATTAATTTTCGGTCACCATGTTTGCTTTCCTGTTAGCTTTGCAAACTGCAGTTTGGGCTCCCGTGCTGCATTAGGCCCAGCCCAGAGGTTATTTTGCCGTTACATTCCAGAGGTTTGTGGAGTAAAACTTGCATGGCAGTTCCTTTGGGATGGTAGCTCCAATTTTATTTGAAGCGGATCTGTTTATATTATTTTTTACACACTAATGGTTCAGTTACCTGGGCCAGGAATTTTGGGTGTCCAATTAGGGTAAATGGAGAGACACAGAAGAAATGTGACTATTGCACTGAGGGTCACACGGTATGTATATCTGGCTTGTCTGGTGGATCATGGACTCCCAAATTAACACTGCCCCTCCTCTGGGGCAGTTTTCTTAGTGTCCAGCTCTGTGCCACATGAGTCAACTAGTTGTTCAGAGCACCATAAATGCTCAGGACTCCAGCCAAATGAAATACAGAGATGAGCAAAGTTCTTTTTTTTTAACAGATTTTATTTATTCACTTTTAGAGAAAGGGGAAGGAAGACAGAAAGAGATGGAGAGAAACATCAATTGATTGTCTTTCACATGCACCCTGCCCTGGGAGTGAACCCTCAACCCAGGAATGTCCCCTGACCAGGAACCAAACCAGTGACCCTTTGCCCTGCAGAATGATGCCCAACCACCTGAGCCACACTGGTTAGGGCAGGATGAACAGTCTTTAGATACATAATTTTAATTTCCATAAAGAAGAATGCCATGTACAAAGTTATGAGACAAATAGGAAACAAGAGTGGGAGGGGGTGCGGCTAGGAGTTTATATACGCAAGAAGGCTTAGTATTCTCAGGAGAAATCTTACTGATGCATGAGAGGGGAGGAGAGGGAGAAAGGGAGAGAAACATCAGTGTGGTTGCCTCTTGTGTGCCCCCTACTGGGGACATGACCTGGCCTACAACCCAGGCATGTGCCCTGACTAGGAATTGAACTGGTGACCCTTTGGTTCACAGGCTGGCACTCAATCCACTGAGTCACACCATCCAGGGCCAGAGATTTTTAAAATATTTCTCTTGATTCCTTCCCTTTCCTCTGTTTTGGTGTGACTGTAGAAGGGGAAGAGGACAAACTCTACCAAGAGGAGCTGTTCAGGCCCATTAAAGTCTAAGACAGCTTCCTGCCTATCTCCACCCTCTCAGTGCTGTCCTCTGCCTAGTTGTGAGGTTCAAGTTGCCTGTGTTTGGTGTTGTAGGAGGCAGTGACATTCATGGACGTGGCTGTGGTCTTCACAGAGGAGGAGCTGGGGCTGCTGGACTCAGTCCAGAGGAAGCTGTACCGAGATGTGACCCTGGAGAACTTCCGGAACCTGGTTTTAGTGGGTGAGGACAGGCACTCTCCGTAACGTGGCTTCGGCCCCTTGCCCAGGGTTTCTCCATCTTGGCACTGTTGACATTTTGGGCCAGATAATTGTATGTTGTGGAGACTGTTCTGTGCGTTTTAGGGTGTTTGGTAGCATCCCTGACCTCTGCCCACTACTTCAAGGCTTCAGGACCCCTTAGAGACCAGAGTTTTCCAGTGTGTTTGCAAGTAGAGACAAGACGTTTCTAGTCTTTGTTCCAAGGTAAACATTTGACTTATAAATTAACTGTAAATGAACAGTTGGGCTTGGCTGTACCTGGCTCCTTATTTAATATATCTTTTTTTAAACTTGTGGGTCATGTTCTGTTGGTGGGTCATGAAGTCGATTTAGTAAGTTGCATCAAAATGTTTGACAAGCACTGCTTTGGGGGAGGGGCAGAGCCTTATATCTTGGGATTGGAACCCAAATTTTATAGTATTTTTTACCTTTAATTTTTCACTTTAATCTTGTCTTTTCACAGGGCATCAGTCCTGTAAACCTGATGTGATATCCCAGTTAGAGAGAGAGGAAAAGCTTTGGATGACGGAGATCCAAACTCAAAGAGGCACGCATTCCACAGAGAGCTCTGCAGCGGGAGTCCCTGAAGGTAACAGCCCATCATTCTCTGTTCTGGGGGATCTGCTCTCCACACAGCAACCCCAGAGACCCGTGGGCAACATCTGTCACATCATGCCATCCGCTGACTTCCCATTTCACTCAAAAAGAAAAACCCCAAAGTATTTAAGGGGCCTGGAAGGCCCTGCAGTGTTTGCTCATTCCCCAGGCTTTACCATTCTGCGTCCTTCTCCTGTCGTTTCCCTCCTTTCGATGCTGCCAGCCTTACCTATTTCTAATGTAGAATGATATGTCTGTGGCCATACCACCCTGAACGTGCTCGGTCTCATCTGATCTAATATAGGATGATTATGTTTCTGCATCAGAATCTTTTCTCTGGATGGAATGCTTTCCTATAAACCTTCAAACATGCTTTCTTATTCATATCTCTGCTCAGATGTCATGTCATCCAAGTCCTGTGAGCGTTCTATTTAAAGTACTGTCCTCTCCCCTCCACATCCTTTTTAAAAATGTTTTTAAAAATTTTATTGATTTTAAAGACTTTTAAAATTTATTCATTTTTAGAGAGGGGGAAGAGAAGGACAAAAATATCAATGTGTGGTTGCCTCTCACACGCCCCGAACTGGTGAGCTGGCCTGCAACCCACGCATGTGGCCTGACTGGGAATCAAACTGGCGGCCCTTTGGTTTGCAGCCTGCACTAAATTCACTGAGTTACACTAGCCAGGGCTAAAAATTTTATTGATTTTAGAGAGAGGAAGGTGGAGAGGGGGAGAGAGAGAGACAGATAAATATTGATTTGTTGTTCTACTCATTTATGCATTCACTGGTTGCTGCTTGTATGTGCCCTGACCAGAGATCAAATCCTCAACCTTGGTGACCTTTCATTTTGTGGAACAGTGCCCAACCAAGTGAGCCACGCCAGTCATGGCCAGCCAGGGCTATTTTTTATTTTCGAGGAACCCCCACACCATTTTCCACACTAGGAGTACCGCTTACATTCCCACCAGCAATGCATAAGGGTTCCAATTTGCTGTGTCCTCACCAGTACCTGGGTTTTTTTCCTTTTTTTTTTTTTTAATAATAGCCACCAGAGCCCTGGCCAAGTTGTTCAGTTGATTACAGCATTGTCTTGATACACCAAGATCACAGGTTTGATACCCAGTCAGGGCATGTACAAGAATCAACCAATGAATGCATATAAGTGGAACAATAAATTAATGTTTTTCTTTCTCTCTTCTTCTCTAAAATCAATTTAAAAAAGGCCATCCTAATGGGTGTGAAGTGGTATCTTACTGTTTTGTTTTGCATTTATGTAATGATTAGTGATGCTGAAATCTTTTCATGTGCCTATTGGTCATTTGTATATATCATTTTTTAACTTTTATTTTTCAATGAAAATTTACACTCAATAGTATTTTGTATTAGTTTGAAGTGTACAGCTTAGTAGTCAGACAGTCATACATTTCACAAAGAATTCTGCCATTACCTTTTGCTCAAATTTGAATCAGGGATTTTGTTTTTGAATTTGCTTGTTGGTTGTGGTTTTTGTGTATGTGTGTATCTGCATTATCTTTAAAGTTTTCTATAAGTAAGACCATGCCATCTATAAACAGATACAAGTTTACTTTTCCTTTCCAACTTGGATGGATGTCTTTATTTTGTTTTCTTGCCTGATTTCTATGGCTAGCACTTCTAGTACTGTGTTAAATAGAATTGACAATGGCAGGCATTCTTATCTTGTTCTGATGTTAGAGGGAAAGCTTTCACCACTGGTGATTATGTTAGCTGAATAGAGGCACATGGCAGGTTTGAGGGTTCGATCCCTGGTTGGAGTGTGTATAGGAGGCAACTGATCAATGTTTCTGTCATATTGATGTTTCTGTCTCTCTCTTCCTTTCCCCATCTTCCCCTCTAAATTCAGTAAAAAAAAATCCTCAGGTGAGAGTTTAAAAAAATTTTAAAAATACAATAATATAAGTTTTATATTTCTCTATATACTTGCCTGTAGCAAAGAACTTTTTACAGTTTTAGGTCAACATGTGTAGACTTTAGTTTCATGATGATCCTGAACTAGGGAAAGATAAAATTATAATTAATTGGTAAAACTAGACATGATCTTATTATAAATTACGTGTGGCACAGTGGGAAGCATGCACACTGCCCCAAACAAGCTCAAAAACTTCCCTTTGGACCCTCTCCTCATCTATAACATTATGACTGACTTCCCTAACAAGTTTTTCAGTTACTGTCTAATGTCCTTTCATTTCAAATGACAGGATTCCCTTTAGCATTTCTTCTAGGTCAAGTCTAATGGCAATGAACTCCTTCAGGTTTTACCTTGGAGTGTCATGTATCAATTTCACATTTTGAGAGGGAGTTTTGCTGTAAATGTGCTCAGTTGACTATTTCTCTCATCTCACTGCCTTCTGGCCTGCAAGGTCTGTATTGAGAAGGTTACTGCTGGTAACCTTATTGAGGATCCCTTGTATGTGACAAGTTGATTTTCTCTCGATGTTTTCAAGATTCTGTCTTTGTATTTGCTTTTGGACAGTTGCATAATCTATTTTGATGTGGGTCCTCTGGGATTTATTCTGTTAAAGTTTTTCAAGTTTCTTTTATCACTAAATGTTTTCCCAATTTTGAAAGTTTCAGCCAGTATTTCTTCAAATTAGTTTCCTGTCCCTTGCTCTCTTTCTTTTCCTCTGGGACTCCCATAGTTCATACCTTGATGCTCTTGATGATGTCCCATAATCCCCTTAAGCCCTGTTCACATTTCTTCATTCTTTTTTTCCTCTTGAAAATTAGTCATTTTAAATAACATTACTTCAAGTTCACTGATTATTCTGCCTGTTCTAGTATGCTATTGAACTATTTCAGCAAAGTTTTCAATTCTGTTACTGTATTTTTCAGCTTCAGGATTTTTTAATAATTTTTTTACCATTTCTTGGTAACTTTTGTTCCTGTGCTGTTTTCCTGAGTTTAGTTGTTTGTCAGCATTCTCCTGTAGCCCGCTGAACATGTTATTTCTAAAATCTTTTACAAGTGTCTTATTTCTTTCAGGTTGGTTTTTGAAGATTTATTTTTGTCCTCTGAATGGGATATGTTTCCTTTCTCTTTTTATGCCTGTTGTTTTTTGATGTTGAAAATTAAGTATTTGAAAAGACTGTCACCTCTCTCTATGGACTGGCTTTGTGTAGAGGAAGACCTTCACTAGTCAGCTTGACATGGAGACACAGGGTCCTTTCAAGCCCTTTCTGAGGTGTATCTTCCCAGGACTATGTGTTCTGTTATTCCAACTCCCCAATATATGGCTACTTTTGAACATGTTGATTTCCCTGACAGTCGCACTCCTGCATTTTTCCAGGGCTTTAGGTTTCTATTATAGTCCTACACATGTGATTTCTTTTCCATGAATCTGCAAACTCTCTATAGTTTGATGTCAAACCTGGTATCAAAACTGTGCCAAGGATCCCATCAGTGTTCTGTCAAGAGACAGAAACCAGTCCCATAGGCAGCATCCAGACCAGCAAGAACACAGAAGCAAGTTCTATTCCTTCCTTGCCAGCCTGAGGGAGGAACCAGGAATGGGGCAGCCTCCTGCCAACCTTTATCTCCCACACTGTGCCTGTGAGGGTGAGGCAAATGGAAAACCTAGGAAATTTTGGACAGTTTTGAATTCAGATTTTTTTGGTTCTCTTGGTGTTTCAGTTTCTTAACTGGTGTTTAAAGTTCTCAAAGCGATTTTCCCCCATAAGTTGTTGGTTATTTGATGTTCTATGTGGGAACAAGGGCTGGAACTTCCTGCTCTGTCATCTTCCCTACAACACTTTCTCTTTTAGCTCTTGTAGCATATGTAAGACAGTTGTTTTAAAGTCTTTGTCTGATTCTGTGGTACCTATTTCTTCATGAATAGTTGTTTCAGCCACTTTTTTCCTGTGAATAGGCCATATTTTCCCATTTCTTTTATGCTTTTACTGTTGAAAATTAAGCATTTGAGCCCTGGTTGGTGTGGCTCAGTGGACTGAGTGCTGCCTTGTAAACTGAAAGGTCACAGGTTTGATTCCCAGCCAGGGAACATGCCTGGGTTGTGGTCTAGGTTTGGGTTGGGGACATGCAAGAGACAACCAAACCCTCTCTTTCTCCCTTCCTTCCTCTCTCTCTCAAAATAAAAAAAAAGATCTAAAGAAAAGTTAATGTATATTACCTAGTGCAGTAATTGCTTTGGATTAAAAAAACAAAAAAGAAAGAAAATTGAGCATTTAAGAAAACAGCTACTTCTACCAGTCTTTGCTGATTGGCTCTTTTCTGGGGAAGCCTAATGTGCCGGGTGTGTTCTGAGCCCTGGGATCTGCCCAGCGATAGGGCATAAGGTCTTCCCAAGTCATTTTCTGAGCTATTGACTTTCCTAGTTCTGTGTATGCCTTTTCAGTTCCCTCTCACACAGATGCTTTTAAGTTTCTCTATCTTCCAAAAAGTGCTGCTTGAGTTTCTCTTGGACTTAGATGTTCTAGTGCGTTCCTTCACACCTAGTTTCTTTTCTAGGCCTCTGCATGTCTATAATCCCTGCATTAGCTCCCATGAACAGTGTCTACTATTGTTTTCCATTGCTTTTTTCCATTTTGTGTGAGTCAGGTAAAGTAGAGACTAGCTCCCTGGCATCTCCAAAACAGGTTAGAGAATTGCAAAGAAAGTCTGCTCTGCTCTATGCAGTTTGTGGTAGGGAATTGAGAGGTGAACTTCTGCATCCTTTAGACCATACCATGCCATAAGTAAAACTGGCAAGGCATTTAATAGTAGTTGTGTATGGAGGGGAATGAGAAAAAGCACTCACACAGCCCCAGGCAAGACACGTGCTTAGAAAAATCCTGACAAGACCTTGTCCCCTCAATCTGAGATGGTCCCCAAATTTCATACCTTTTTAAATGTGGCTTTCTCACATTTGTATGTTCTCTTGATTGCTGTAGGTTGCTGTATGTCTTTTGACTGTTTTTCAGAACTCTCATACTTATTTTTGCTAATCTCTAGTGTTTTGTCTTTTGCTTTTTGGGTTGTTTTTTTTTTCCGGTTTCATTGGTGCAACAAAGACTTGGGGACTCCTGGCCTACATTTTTGCTGATGTCACTCTCTGTCCCTAATTCTTTCAGGAGACAGGTATGAAAATGAGCTGGAGATTCTTCATGAAGCAGGAGTAAGGTGCCTTTCATTGGGAGGGTATTCATGCTGGCAAATCAAGAGACATGTTGTGAGTAAATTAACAAAAAGTCAAGACTCCATGATACATATTGAAGAAAAGATGTTCCCCAAACAACCTAGTTCCCCCTGTCAGGTGGGAATGGGAATATCCATGCAGGCTGATGTAGAAGACAGCTGTGTAATGACTCTTACAGAGAATCATTCCATTATTAATGAAAATCAAGGATTTCCAACAAGGAGAGCTCAAAATTCTTGGAATAAAACATATCTGAACGAGACACAGAATTATCAGGGAAGTTGTAAGCAGATGCTAATGAAAAACAAGTTCTGTGTATTTGTTCCACAGGCTAACATCTTCAGTTATAATTCTCACCCCGCAGATGATGATACAGCACACAAGAGAGATCACGCTCACAGTAAGAAAGATTGTGGTGAGGACATTGCAAAGGTGTCCCCTCTTGTCCAGTTCAGTGTATTCCACACAGGACAGAAAACCTACCAGTGTAATCAATGTGAAAAAGCATTCAGTGATGGCTCCAGTCTTGAGGTCCATCAGCAAGAACACTTGGGAAAGAAGTCCCTTCCACATACTACACATCAGGATACCAGGTTCAACTCAGCCATTCCTGTTCAACAACACATTCACACAGGGAAAAAACGCTACTGGTGTCATGAATGTGGAAAGGGTTTTAGTCAGAGCTCAAACCTGCAAACTCATCAGAGAGTTCACACAGGGGAGAAACCGTATTCGTGCCTAGAATGTGGTAAGAGCTTTAATCAGACCTCCCACCTTTATGCTCACTTGCCTATTCACACAGGAGAGAAGCCTTATAGATGTGAAAGTTGTGGGAAGGGCTTCAGTCGTAGCACGGATCTGAACATTCATTGCAGAGTTCACACTGGAGAGAAACCTTATAAATGCGAGATCTGTGGAAAGGGCTTCACTCAGAGATCACACCTTCAGGCTCATGAGAGAATCCACACTGGAGAGAAACCCTATAAATGTGTAGATTGTGGTAAACGCTTCAGTTGTAGTTCAAATCTCCATACCCATCAGAGAGTGCACACTGAAGAAAAACCATACAAATGTGAGGAGTGCGGGAAGTGCTTCAGTTTGAGCTTTAATCTCCATAGTCATCAACGAGTCCACACAGGAGAGAAACCATATAAATGTGAAGAGTGTGGGAAAGGCTTTAGCTCAGCCTCGAGTTTCCAGAGCCATCAGAGGGTTCACACAGGAGAGAAACCGTTTCGATGCAATGTATGTGGTAAAGGCTTTAGTCAGAGTTCATATTTTCAAGCCCATCAAAGAGTCCACACTGGAGAAAAACCCTACAAATGTGAGGTGTGTGGGAAGCGCTTCAACTGGAGCTTGAATCTTCACAATCATCAGAGAGTCCACACAGGAGAGAAGCCATATAAATGTGAAGAGTGTGGGAAAGGTTTCAGTCAGGCCTCAAATCTTCAAGCTCATCAGAGTGTCCACACTGGGGAGAAGCCATTCAAATGTGATGCGTGTCAGAAGCGATTCAGTCAGAGTTCACATCTTCAAGCCCATCAGAGAGTCCACACTGGAGAGAAACCATATAAATGTGACACCTGTGGTAAGGCCTTTAGTCAGAGGTCAAATCTTCAAGTCCATCAGATCATTCACACCGGGGAGAAACCATTTAAATGTGAGGAATGTGGGAAAGAATTCAGCTGGAGTGCTGGGCTCAGTGCTCATCAGAGGGTCCACACAGGGGAGAAACCCTATATGTGTCAGCAGTGCGGGAAGGGCTTCAGTCAGGCTTCACATTTTCACACACATCAGAGGGTCCACACGGGAGAGAGACCTTACATATGTGATGTTTGTTGCAAGGGCTTCAGCCAGAGATCACATCTTGTATATCATCAGAGAATCCACACTGGAGGGAATCTATAGAAGTGTGTGATAGCCTTTGGTTAGATGTCATCTCTCTGTCCATTAGAAGGTCTCTGCTGGTAGCTGTGGAAAGTTCCTTCAGAACTCAGAAGCTTCCAGGGACTGTGCCAGGAAAGCAGCTCTATGAAATGTTTTAAGAACTCAGTTGGGAGATGATCCTTTGTAAACATCAGATTTCACACGTAAGAGAAAACTGGTTTTATAAATGTGGTGAGTGGTTAAAGCAGTTTTGAATGTCCCAGTTCTAAAGATGAACACAACAGAATCTTATATTTCATTGGAGTCTATGGAGAAGAGAGGGCTTATAAATGAAGATTATACACAGGATTCTAACAAAAGTATGATGGACAGATGAAATTGATATAAACTAAAACATAACCTCCACATGCGTGGGGTGTTTTTCACCACTGTTTCTCTACCTTGTAGAACTGCTTGGCATGTACTAGGTGACCAGCAATTACTCAACAAAGTGAAGAAAATCACTATAGTCAGGATAAATGTGTGAAAATCTAGTCAGTTCCCTACTATAAATTCATCACAGCATACTCAAAAAGAATAATATAATGCTGCCATCCACAATAACACAAACTAATTTCAACAAGACTTCTGAATGGCTCCCATCCTCCATTCAGCCTCATTTCATTGCTCAGTGTATTATCTGTGTGAAAAGTGTACTATTTAATTATTAGTTTGTATTTTATAGACTGAAAAGTACTGTGTTTTTCTCCCATCTAATTATGGTGAATTTATATAATTGGAAATTTTGAACCCTAATTCATTAAGGTACAGTTTTACCATAACACTTTGAAAATGTTAAAAGTAGTTACTAATGACAAAAAATTTTAGTAAACTTGAATTGTTAATAATTGGTTTCTTCTCATTATTTTCTGCAAGCTGAGGTCAGAGTACCTTGTCTATGCACGGTCTTTCTTCCATTCAGACCTCTTTAGTTAGGGGGCTTTGCAGACTTCAAAGACATTAATTTTGTCACATTCCACCCTCATTATTCTTGCTAAAATAAGGGGGAAGGAAGCAGGACAAGAAACTTGATTGATTGAAATTCATTAAATGTAACAATTTAGATTGTCATTTTCATAGCATTCTGTGTTCAACACCTCTTTGGAGAAGTGAACAACATTAGCTGGTCAGTATGTATCAAAACACCCTTTAACCTAGCAATCCTAGCTTAGGAGAGTGTAGAAAAAGTGAGACAAATCATACAAAAAGATGTTTATATTCAATTTTTAAGAAAAGGAAATAGGTATCTATGAAATATTTGAATAAATGCATTCAAATATACAGGCACGAAAAAATGTGATTTAATGGAGAGTAATGGTGGCCTGAGAAGACCTCCGGGTGTCTTCTTAACATTACAACATATTGGAAAACTGTATAATTCAGCAAAGGATTCTCTGCTCAATCAATACAAACATGTCTGAGAGAGCCACACATTGAGATAGGACATACTGAACCCAACAGTGAATATGGCAGGGGTGGGGACGCAAAGGCTAGGGACAGAAGCTGTGCCTAGTCTAGCAATTGCTGCAGACCACAATGGATGCCATGACATTTAAGGATGGAGTAGAAGCCCCACTGGGAAAACCACAGGGGCAGAGACCAACAATTGGACCTGGGCATCACATACATTGCAACTAGGCCCAGGGTTGGGGTCAGGAAAGCAATGCAGAGGACTGCAGCATTCTACAGTCCACCAGTACCAGACAAGGATTTCACAGATTTGCAAACCCACCCACCCTATCACTGCACCCTGGCTTATTGTGTACAGAGAGAATGCTGAAAACAACTTTCCATCTAAGTGGGCTGTACCCATTGTGGCCAAGTCCCCTATGATGACAGAGCTGTGGATGTGTGATCTCACTTCCCAAGACAATCCCTCCCCCACCCATCAAAGATGCAGTGGTAGAGGCAGCCAGGTAAACTCAGTAGCTTTGCCAGTGGCTTTTGCCTTCCAGGAAGGTGATACTGGGAACACACAGGAGTCCCACAGCCCACCACTTCAATCCACAGGAGTTGTGCCCTGAGACTGAGGTGACTGGGTTGCAAAAGGCACACACCACTTCCTCAGGGAAGATGGGGTGTGTCCCACAGAGATCCTGGAAGCCCCAGCAGTGCAAGAAAGAGAACACAAAAGCTTGTGTTTCAGCACCACCTATAAGAAAACAAAGATTTCTGCATATCAACCTGCTATACAATGAAGTGTCAAATACATGAAGAAATTTTCATTCCCACAACTGTCCAGGCAGAGAAATAATTCAAGCACAATAAATAACCAAGGTAACAAAGGAAGGAAAATGTAACATCTCCAGAAAATAAATGTAAAGAAATGGAAGTATGTAATTTATATGACAGAGAATTGATTTCAGTTCTGAAAATACTCAACAGGGTATAAAAGGCAGTTCAATGAACTCAAAAATCAATGAACAAAAGGCATACTTCACCAAAGAGATTGAAAGTATTTAAAAAAAATCCTAGCACTGAAGAACTCAATAAAAAGATGAAGGATGAACTAGGAAGCTTAGAAAATAGAACAGACCAGGCCCTGGCTGGGTAGCTCAGTTGGATAGAGCATCAACTAGATACACCAAGTTTGCAGTTTCAATCCCCAGTATGGCATGTACAAAGACCAACCAATGAATGCAAAAATTAGTGAAAAAACAAATCAGTGTTTCTCTCCCTCCCTTCCCCTCTTTCAAAAAAAAAATAAAATCTCTTTTTAAAAAGAGTGGCGGGGGGTGGGGGGATGAGACAGAGCTACCAGAAAACCAAAGAAAAAATGACTATAGGATTCCTAACCAGTGTGGCTCAGTGGGTTGGGTGTCATTTTGCAAAGCACAAGGTCACCAGTTCGATTCCCAGTCAGGGCACATGCCTAGGTTGGTGGATTCAGTCTCCATCTGGGTTGGGGTGCATGCAAGAAACAACCAACTGATGTTTCTCTCTCACGCTGATGTTTCTCTCCCTCTTCCCCCTCTTCTCCTCTAATAAGAAATAAAATCTTTTTAAAAGTGGCTATAGATCTTCATATATTAATAATCACCCTAACTATAAATGGACTGAACTCACCAATTAAAAAGGCTCAGTGCAATGGGATGGGTAAAAAAACAACTATTCACTGTATTCAGGAGTCACATCTCAGCTGCAGTAACAAACACAGATTCAGCAACAGAGTGGAAAATGATATTACAAATAGAATCTAGACAAAAGCAAGCAAGTGTAGCCATAATTCTATCAGATAAAACAGATTTCAAGATAAAAAAAGGTAACAAGAGGAGGATGTTTTGTAATGATACATAAATGGGACAATACACCCTGGCTGGTGTGTCTCAGTTGATTGAGCTTCTTCCCATGAACTGAAGGGCTGCGGGTTCAGTCCCTGGTCAGGGCATGTACAAGAGGCAACAGATTGATGTTTCTCTCACACTGATGTTTCTCCCTCCTCCAATCTCTGGAATCAATGACTAGAACATTGGTTAAGGCTTATAAATAAAACAAAAAATAAATGGGACAATGCATCAAGAAGACATAAGACTTATTAATATATGCACCCAATCTGGGAGCACCAAAACCTATAAAGTATATAAAGTAACTACTAACAGAACAAAGGGGAGAAACTGAGCAAAACATAATAAACGATGCCAGGAAAATTGTAAAACTACATATAAAAGAATGAAACTGAAGTACTACCTGACACCCACACAAAAATTAACTCTAAATGGGTCAAAACCTAAACATAAGGCATGAAAAACTTACAGACCTTGGTCTTAGGATTTTATGAATTTGACCCCTAGGGAAGGCAAGGCAAGGGAAGTAAAAGCAAATATAAATGAATGTGACTATATCAAATTAAAAGGCATGGGACAGCAAAAGAAACCAACATAACAAAGGCAACCAACCGAATGGCAGAAGATTATTTGCAAACAAGAGCTCCAAAAATGGGCTAATATCCAAAGTATATAAAGAACTCATATAACAATAACAAAAAATCCCATTAAAATGGGCAGGAGACCGAAACAGACACTTCCCCAAGGTTGACAGGTATGAAAAGATGCTCAAATTCACTGTTAGGGAAATGCAAATCAAAACCAAAATGAGAGACCACTTCATACCTATTAGGGTGGCTATGATCAATAAGAAAAGAAATAAGGGTTGGAGAGATTGTGGATAAAAGGGAATCCTCATACACTGCTGGTGAGAATGAAAACTGGTACAGCCAGTATGGAAAAACAGTATGGAGGGTCCTCAAAAAATTAAGAACGGAGTTAGCATTTGACCAAGCAATCCTTAGTTTGGTATCTATCAGAAAAATTTAAAAACAGTTATTTGGAAAGATGTATTGCCACTATGTTCCTTACAGTATTATTAACAGTGTTCAACACATGGAAATAACCTCAGTATTCTCTGACAGATGAATGGATAAAAATGTGGTGCATATATACAATGGAATACTAAGCCACAAGGATAAAATATTTCCATTTGCAGTAACATGGATGAATCTTGAGGATATCTTGCCAAGTGGAAGAAGTTAGATGAAAAAGGACAAGAACCATACGATTTTACTCATGTGGGGTCTAAAACAAAGCAACACATGAACAAACAAAATGACCTCATTGACAGCAGTATGGTGGAATAAGAGGGGAAGGAGAGTGGGGGTGGGTTGAAGAGGGTAAAGGGAGCCAAATATATGATGACAGGAGGAGACTAAACTTTGGAAGAAAAGCACACAATGCAATGTACAAAGTATTATACATTTGAAACATATTAATAACCAATATCACCCCAAATAAATTTTTTTAAAAAATGATACATATCTAGAATGACAAGTGTCACTCATGAGAAAACTAGGTTAGCAACTTCCTGTTATGACCCAAGTAATAGAAGTATGTGTACCTAAAGATATGATATGCATAGAAATAATATGTGGGAGGATACTGATTAATATGTTATCTGGTATACTCAGCTAGGGTTCCAGTAATGTTTCACTTTCTCAAAAATCATTTACAGTGATCATTATTAATACTACCAAACACTTCCGGCCAAGATGGAGGCATAGGTAGACACACTGTGCCTCCTCACACAAGCAAGATAGGAACAGCAATTTAGAAACAGAACAACCAGAACTGACAGAAAATTGAACTGTATGGAAGTCGGACAACCAAGGAGTTAAAAGAGACATACATGTTCATCCAGATCGGTAGGAGGGGTGGAGTTGGGGAACTGGGCACAGGGGGCAGGTTGTGGCACAGAGAGCAGAGAGTGTGTGGACCGGGGTATAAGGCATCTGGGGCATGCAAGACCACAGCGGGTGGAGCACACCAGTGGCAGCTGGCAGACCCAGCAAGGTGGCGATTGTGAAGCAAGCCACTGCGCACAACCCAGGATCAGAGCACTGGGAAACAGAGCCTCAGGACACTGATTGAAAACACCGGTGGGGGGTTGAGGTGCAGGGAGAGACTCCCAGCCTCACAGGAGAGGTCCTTGAATAGTCCCACCACATGCAAAAGCCCACCCACACGGAAATTGGCACCAGAGGGGCCCAGTTTGCTTAGGGGAAGTGGTGGAAGGGACTGAGGTCTGACGGAAAACGGAGCAAGCACCATTGTCCCATCTCAGACCCCGCCCCCACATACAGCATCACAACCCAGCGACTGGGGTGCCCCACCCTGGTGAACACTTAAGGCTCCACCCTTCATACGTTACAGGCGCAACCAGACCAAAGAGAGGGAAACAAAAAGATGGCTCAAACAGAAGTGAAAGTCCCAGAACCCATCCTTTTAAGCGCCCGAGAGACAGCCAACCTATCAGATGCCCAGTTCAAAGCACTGGTGATCAGGATGCTCACAGAATTGGTTGAATTTGGTTACAAATTAGATGAAAAAATGAAGGCTACAATAAGTGAAATGAAGAAAAATGCACAGGGAAACAATAGTGATGAAAAGAAAGCTAGGTCTCACATCAATGGAGTGGACCAGAAGGAAGAAAAAAACATACAATCAGAAAAGAATGAAGAAATAAGAATTCAAAAAAAAATGAGAAGAGGCTTGGGAACCTCCAGGACATCTTGAAACGATCTAACATCCGAATTATAGGGTACCAGAAGGAGAAGAGGAAGAACAACATGTGGAAAACTTATTTGCACAAATAATGAAGGAGAACTTCCCCAATCTGGCAAAGGAAATAGACTTCCAGGAAGTCCAGGAAGCTCAGTGAGTCCCAAAGAAGTTGGACCCAAGAAGAAACACACCAAGGTACATCATAATTACATTGGCCAAGGTAAAAATGAAGGAGAGAATCCTAGAAGCAGCAAGAGGCAAGGAGACAGTAACCTACAAAGGAGTTCCCATCAGACTGTCAGCTGATTTCTCAAAACAGACCTTGCAGGCAAGAAGGGGCTGGAAAGAAGTATTCCAAGTCATGAAAGGGAAAGACCCACATCCCAGATTGCTCTATCCAGCAAAGCTTTCCTTTAGAATGGAAGGGCAGATAAAGTGCTTCTCAGATAAGGTCAAGTTAAAGGAGTTCATCATCACCAAGCCCTTATTTTATGAAATGTTAAAGGGACTTATCTAAGAAAAAGAAGATAAAAAACATGTATAGCAAAATGACAGCAAACTCACAATTATTAACAACCACATGTAAAACAAAAACTAAGCAAACAACTAGAACAGGAACAGATCCACAGAAATGGAGAGCACATGGAGGGTTAGCAACAGGGGAGTGGGAGGAGGAGAGAGGGGGAAAAGGTATGGAGAATAAGTAGCATAGATGGTAGGTAGAAAATAGACAGGGGGAGGGCAAGAATAGTATGGGAAATGTAGAAGCAAAAGAACTTATAACACATGGACATGAACTAAAGCGGGGGAATGTGGGTAGGAGAGGGTGTGCAGGGTGGAGGGGAATGAAGGGGGGTAATGGGACAACTGTAATAGCGTAATCAATAAAATATGATTGGAAAAAAAGGAGAAAACTGTATTTGAACAAAGATTAAAATAAAAAAAAAATTCTTTGTTGAGCAAGGAGAAAAAAATTTAAAAAATATATATTTTTATAAAACTTAATTTAAGCCCTGTCTGGCATAGCTCAGTGGATTGAGCATGGGCTGCGAACCAAAGTGTCGCAGGTTCGATTCCCAGTCAGGATACACGCCTGGGTTGCAGGCCATGACCCCCAGCAACCGCACATTAATATTTCTCTCTCTCTCTCCCCCCTGCCCGCAACTTCCTTCTAAAAATAAATGAATAAAACTTTTTAATAAGTAATTTTATTGATTTTTAGATGGAGAGGGAGGGAGAGAAAGAAACATCAATTAGTTGTTCCACTTACTGATGCATTCCTTGATTCCTGTATGTGCCCTGATCAGGGATCAAACCCATAACCTTGGTGTAGCAGGACAACACTCTAATCACTTAGCTACCGGGCCAGGGCTCATGGTATTTGTTTATTAAATTACTGAAAGTGGGATTATGTTTGAAGTTCTTGATGTATGTTGTGCCCTTACCCTCCAGAAGGGTTTTCTTACCATCCTTTCTGCAGAGGAGGACAGCATTCAAATACCTTGAAGGCTCATAAAGTTTAAATGCTGTTATGAGTATGGTACATGTAAACACTCGAAAAGTCATCATCTGTGTGAATATTCTCTAAGCTGTGTGGGCAAAGCTTAGCTGGGCTTCCTCTAGGAGCTTCTAGATGTCTCACTTCTACGCTTCCCAAAGGTGTCTGGGAGAGATAAGGTAGTCTTCAGTGCAAGGGCCTCCAGGGTGGTTTTATCTCCTAGCAACAAGGACACATGTCCACTCTTGTGACATGCTGTGTCACCCATTCTCCTTGAAGTGGGATCTGTAGAAATTCAAGTGGAGGAGTAGAAGCAAAGGGCTTTGAGAAACTTGGGTGCTGGTAGCCAGTTTATATATCAGTAATGGGAAAATTCCATACTATTCCCCTAAAGTAAATTTGTCTGGCTTCTAATAGGGGTTAGAAATTGCCTTATTTGTTTTGGTTTGTCAATACTCTCTCACATTGAAATGCTGCATGGCATATATCTAAGTAGCTACTTTATTTGTAGAATCTAAGCATGATCCCCATATGCCTATGAAGATCTTGCATTAGTCTTGAAGGTACTAGAAGAAAGTTAGTTCCCTAAGAGATTACTTATTTGTTTCAGGATTTGTGGACAAACTTGTACTTTTCCACAAGGATACTGACAGCATCCCTTTAGAGAAGAAAATCTGCTTAGCTGGCTTTGCAGGGCTATCTCTCCCTCCTGACTCAGACATGCTTCCCATTGGGGTAGGAAACAGGAGATGTGAGTGTGCTTGTCCGAGAAGAGGGGTTTTGGTCCTGGCTGGGTAGCTTCGTTGGTCCGAGTGTAGTCCTGATATACCAGCATCGCACTTTCATTCCAGGTCAGGACACAAAGAAGTCAACCAATGAATGTACAAACGAGTGGAACAACAAATCGATGCCTCTTCCTCCCCCCTCTCTCTCCCCCCTCCCCTCTTTGTGTCTCTCTCTTAAAATCAATACATTAATAAAAGGAGAGATTTGGACCTTGGTTCTCTATCTCCACTCCACTCCCAGGGAGACAGTTCACTCTGCATTCTTCAAGTGGTTCTTAAGCAGGAGAAACCCTGTCTGGGGGTCCATGTGCACATCCTTTGATGCCATCACTGGCGAGCAGGGGTCAGTCTATTACCTGTCTCCCACCCTTCACCTTCCCTGACCACCACCACCACCACCACCACCACCACCAGCTATTTTGTCTTGGGTTCCTAGTGCTTCCCATTCTCTGTTCCCTGGGACATCCTACCGACATTGATACAGAATGATTCTGCTTGCCTTTATAATAATAAAATTGTGAATAAGACAGAAACTGCCCTACCCACATGGAATTTACATTCTAAAGGAGACAGCATAAACAACTACCAGTAAGTGAGAAGTGCTAAGAAGAAAATAAAACTGGCTGATAGTGCTGGGGGAAGACAGATACAGGTTGAGGAAGGTGTCCGTGGGGTTGACACATAAGCTGTGCCCTGAGTGATGAAAAGGAGCCAATGGGGGAAGACCTGGAGGGATTGTCAGCACAAAGATCGTGTGATGGGCATGCACTTTGTGACTGAGGAACATAAAGAAGAGTATGCTGCCGGTGAGGAGAAGAAAAGGAGCTCAGAGAGGTTGGATCAGGAGTGACGTAATAAAAATGAGAAATTTCGGGGGTTCTTACATTTTTTAATTAAATTATTTTATATTTTATTGATTATGCTAAAAAAATACTACCAAACAAATCAAATTACTGAATAAATGAAAATCCTTTACAGCTAAATCTTACTTTATCTCACTTGGCACATATGCCTGTATCACAGATATATTGAGATGGCCAAAAAGTCCGTGACATTTTTTTCTGTAAAATAAAAGGCACACTTTTCATTTTTGCCTGAGTTCTGGCAGGCCATCCTGGTGGCTGCTAATGACAACACTGACAGTGACACAAAACATGTGACACCATGGATCCTATATATCCACTCCCTGGAAGGTAAGGTCTAAGAAAAAAATTGTGGGGAACTGTCCCCTACCTCCAGTCAACACACACAAATTTGAGTAAACCATCCAAGAAAGTAAACCTGAAAACTGTGTAAGTATCTGAGAAGTACGAGGTGGTATCCAAAGTGTACTGGCTTTAAATGCTTCATCTGTGATGAGATAAAAACTGACTGGTGTGCCTCAGTCGGTTGGCCATCATCCTGCAAATGGAAAGGTTGTCAATTCTATTCCTGGTCAGGGCACATGCCTGGGTTGTGGGTCTGGTCCCTGGTTGGAGGTGTGTGAGAGACAACCAATCAATGTTTCTCTCCTCTTTCTCCCTCACTTCCCCTCTCAGGAAATATAAAACATAAACTATATATATAAAACCAAAGCAGCTTAGTTCAACACCCAAAATCCTGTATATGTTCCCTCCTTTTCCCCACACCTCTTTCTCAGGTATAGTTTCAAGATTTTATTTATTTTTAGGGAGAAATAGAGGGAGAGAAATATCAATGTATGGTTGCCTTCCATGTGCCACCTACTGGGAAATAAAGCACTGACCCTTTGGTTTGCAGGCCTGAGCTCAACCACTGGGCCACACCAGCCAGGGCTGTTTCTCAGGAAGTTTTAATGAATTAAAAGCAGATTTCCCTATTTTTATTGTCTGTTCCTGTCACAAAATAAGACCATGGAGGTTATTCTATTACACACCTAATGACACTGCACACAGAAAGTCCTGAGTGATGAGATAAAAACCTGGAGCCAGTAACTACTTGAAAACTGAAGATGAGATGAGGTCAAGAACCAATTGCAAAAATCGTATACTGAAATTGCACAAGGCATGATTTTATGCTTATGATAAGTGATCATTTCCTTGAATTAATTTTTTTAAATTTACTTATTTTTAGAGAGAGGGGAAGGGAGAAAGAGAGGGAGAGAACATTAATGTGTGGTTGCGTCTCACGCATTCCCTACTGGGGACCTGGCCCACAACCCAGGCACGTGTCCTACACTGGGAATCTAACTGGTGACCCTTTGGTGCCCAGGCTGGAGCTCAATCCACTGACCCACACCAGCCAGGGCTCCTTGAATTAAGTTTTAAAGTTTCTTACAAAAATCCATTTGCTAGTACAATTTATTATTATTAATTGAGGCTAGGCTCATGAGAATTTTCATATAGTTACCCTATTTTTCATAGCTTTTCCTCTCTCAAGTGAGACATTTCTAGGTACCTACTATTTCTAAGGCACTGGTTTGCAGTCATGTTCATTCAGTAGTGAAGACTTCGTGCGTCCATGGAACTTAAATTCTCGTACATGTTGATTTTGTCAAATCCATTACTATACCTTTGGTAATGTCCTGGTGGTCTTTACTTTTAAGCCTCCCTCCTGTGTAGAATTTGGGGAATGTGAAGGTTCTGACAAACTCATAATATTGCTCTCATAGGGTTTATCTGTTGTGCATCCCCTGAAGAACTGTCACATTTTGAAGTAAGCCAGAACACTGGCCACATTCATGCAAGGAGATTTTTCACAATGGAATTCAGGTGACTGTAGAAAACTAAGCTTGTGCTGAATTCTTAACACAACATTCTACAGATGATCTCAGCTGTGTAGGTTTTCTGATGAAAGGTAGAAGTCTGAGCTCTGAGGAACACTTTTATCAAACACCCACCAGGAGTGATGGTCTTACCAATATTATGTACACTCTGATGAACTTGCAAACATAAAGTTTTACTAAAGCCCTTACCAAAACCATAATATTTGTACACTTTCTACTCAGCATGGACTCTATGATTGGCTTGAAGACTTAAGACCTCACTAAAGCTCTTACCAGACTGTCACATTTATAGGATTTTTCTGTATGTGGATCTCCTGATGAGTTTCAAGACCTAAGGTCCGATCGAAGCTCTTCCCACACACAGCCCATTCATAGTTTTTATTTAGAATGAATTCGCTGATGAGAATGAAAATGCGCTTTCTGACTGAAGCTCTTCCCACACACAGCACATTTGTAGGGTTTCTCTCCAGTGTGGACTCGCTGATGAACTTGAAGATATGAACTATAACTGGAGCTCTTCCCACACACAGCACATTTGTAGGGTTTCTCTCCAGTGTGGACTCTCTGATGAACGTGAAGTCCGCAGGTCTGACTGAAGCTCTTCCCACACACAGCACACTTGTAGGGTTTCTCTCCAGTGTGGATTCGCCGATGAACTTTAACATATGAACTCCGACTGAAGCTATTCCCACATACAGCACATCTGTAGGGTTTCTCTCCAGTGTGGACTGGCTGATGAACTTTAAGTCCTGAACGCCAACTGAAACGCTTCCCACACACACCACATTTGTAGGGTTTCTCTCCAGTGTGCACTCGCTGATGAATTCGCAGTTTTGATCTCCACCTGAAGCTCTTCCCACACTCAGCACATTTGTTCATTTTCTCTCCAGTGTGGACTTGCTGATGAGCTTGAAGTTTTGAACTCAGTCTGAAGTTCTTCCCACACACAGCACATTTGTAGCGATTCTCTCCAGTATGGACTCGCTGATGAATTTGCTGATGTGAACTTTGACTTATGCCCTCACAACACTCATCACTCTTTTTGCATTTCTCTTCTGTGTGAACACTTTGATGAGTGTAGACCTCTGAGCTATAACTCTTGCCCTCCCCAAACTCACTACATAGGTGAGGTTTTCCTCCCAGGTGCAACTGCTGATGAAGCTGAAGACTGGGGCCAAGTCTGGAGCCTTTTCCATTTTTGGAAGAGGTGTGCTCTTCTGAGTGGATTACATTATGCAGGAATGATGGCTTCACGAAGTCTTTCAGACAATTCTTGTGGCTATAAGATGTCTTACCTTCCTGTACTTCCTGATCATCACTGTGGAGACCAGAGGTCCTTCTCCTGACACAGTGCTCACACTCGCACAATTTACATCTGTGGATACCAGGCTGACACCTAGTCTGATCATTCTGTGACTCTCTCAGATACACTTTCTTCTGGCAATTGTGGATGGTTTTCATGGGGAACTCTTCTTTTCTCATACTATCGAAACTTTGAACTTCCTCTTCAAGCTTTATTACATATTTCCCACCTTCTGAAACCTGAGTAGATTCTCCTGCACACAACTGACAGGAGGAATCACCATGTTTGGGCAAATCCAACTTCTTGCCTCGCAGGTTTATTATCAAGTTTTGATTTCTGGTTAACTTACTCCGAAGTTGGTCCCATATTTGCCAGCATGAAACATCTTCATGTAAAAGGTAACTTAATGCAACTTCCTGAAGAGAATCTACCTCATTTTGGTTCCAGTGTCCTGGAAAGATAAGGAGAATACAAACGTGACAAGTAGGATAAGAAAATGCCTGTTCAGATATAAAAATATTTCACAGGTCAACCACCCTGAGAGACCTTACTCAATCAGCTTGGCTTTCACCATAGACTTTCCAATGTGTAAGTAAACAAAGAGGTGATGAGTAAGCTGCTGTCCACGTGGTGTTATGGTCACTTGTTTGGAACTATACCAAGACTTACATATGAGGTCAAAAGTAGAAATACGTGACTATAGATAAGAGGAAGCTCTCAGCAAAATGGTGGATGTTCTAAGTAGAAAAAACTAGAAATCTCACACCCATGACTGACACATCTGATGGGAGAGTAAAATGTCCCATGATAATTGCTGCCACTTAGTTTAGCTGAATGATCTGATGATGACCAATGACTAACAACATCTTCCAGGTTTTGTACACTAGATATGCATTTGTACATAGGAAAAGATGCCATGGTAACCAGCATTCAGGATGGTCCCCAATGATCCTGCCTGCTGATGTCAATATGGTATGAAATGCCTTCCAGCAATGTATCAAGAGTAGTCTGTGAAGCCAACAGAATATGGCAAAAGTGCCCTTGCCGGGTGGCTCAGTTGGTTGCAGCATCATCCCATACACTGAGAGGCTGTCGGTTTGATTTCCAGTCAGGGCATGTACTGGAGGCAACAGAAAGATGTTTCTCTCTCTATCCCAAAAATCAATAAATGTATCCTCTCGGGAGGATTTTAAAAATCTCCAGAAGTGAGAGTACATCACTTCCAAGGTTAGAGCATAAAAGACATTGTGGTTTCTGCCTTCCACCCACTTGGGTGGAAGAAACCAGCTGCCATGCCATGCTTTGAGGACAGCCAGGAAGCCCACAGGACAGGCCCTCTGGCAAGGAACTGAGGTCTTCTGCCAACACCCATGTGAACGAGTCCATCCTGGAAGCCAATACTTCAGTGCCATTAAGCTTGCAAAGACATGGAGCTCTCGTGGACTCTTTAACATGAACTTGATGAGATCCTGTCCCACAATCACCCAGCGAAGCTGCCTACAGATTCCTAACTCACAGAAGTATAAATACATCCTTGTTGGAAGCTGCTACATTTAAGAGTAGTTTGTTATACAGGTAAAAACAGATTAAGATTACAGACAAACACATAAAGATTATATAGGTCAGGCATTCATCAGAAGGGTAACAATGTTCTGAAATAATTCTTGAATCACAATGGCTTTTCCTTCACTTTTGGACTATCTCCAGAAGGAGTGCAGTCAGTGAGGCCCACCTAACACCATTCCCTCTGTGCATTTGTTTATGAAACTCCTGGATGGAGACAAACCCTGTAGTGTGAGGATCTGTGCAGTGTAACAAGGCCACAAGGATATTCACAGCAGGTAGATCAGGGCAATTAGATGGACAGACAAAATGCAAAATCTGGGTCTGTTCAGATGTTGCTAAAAGAACCTTTTTTTTAAAAGATTTTATTTATTTATTTTTAGAGAGGGAATGGAGGGAGAAAGAGAGAGAGAAACATCAATGTGCCGTTGCTGGGGGTCATGGCCTGCAACCCAGGCATGTACCCTGACTAGGAATCGAACCTGCAACACTTTGGTTCACAGCCCATGCTCAATCCACTGAGCTACGCCAGCCAGGGCACTAAAAGAACTTTAAAGAAGGGAGATGTAGGTACATATGCTATAAAATTTGTTCAGTTTCCTGAGGGGTGTGAGTTACAGAGGTACATCCATTAGTCATGACTCATCAAATGGCACGTTTGTGTGTCTATAAATGTTACCTTAATAAAAAGAACTAAAATATAAAGTCTTTTCACTCCCTAAACATTCAAGAAGGTGTACTGCAGTTTGATGCATATATTTCAATAAAAAGGTGGCACAAAATACAAAATAAAAGATTATTCAACAAGATAAAACAGCACTGGCCGGGTAGTTCAGTAGGCTAAAGTGCTGTCCCAATATGAATGTTGAGGGTTCGCCCCCCAGTGAGGGAACATACAAGAATTAACCAATGAGTGCATGCATAAGTGCAACAACAAATCAATGTCTAACTGTCTCTCTTGTTCTAAAATCAACCAATAAATAAATAAATAACAATAAAACAACAACACAGTTTTCTTCCTTTAAAACAAAGAAACAACATGCCGAGGCTGGGTGGCTCAGATGGTTGGAGTGATGTCCTGTAACTGGAAGGTTGTGGGTTTGGTTCCCAGTCAGAGCACATACCAGATTTGAGGGTTCAGTCCTCGAATCCTGTTCTGGGTGTGGATGGGAAGCCACTGATTTATACTACCTCTATCATCGATGTTTCTCTCTCTAAAAGCAATGTCCTCGCATGAGGAACAAAAAACCCAAAAAGACGATGACGAAGAAAAGACAAGAAAAAAGGCAACACACTTGGGAAGCTCCCTGGTAAGAAAAAAAACAGACAGCAGTTTTAACTGGGTCTGTAATTCCCAAAGAAGGCACATCTGTAGGAAAAAAAGGGGAGCAAATCACACAGAGCTGGCATCCAACCTTCCTGACTGCTACCTTCGTGCACCACGAAGACACAACAACAGAAATGGCAAAAAGAGAAAACTGTCCCCCACTATTCACAACAGACAGAGCTTCAGCTGCATTTTCCTAGGGATTTTGTCGGATTAAGTTCTTGGTATTTGGTACTGATATCGAATAGGGGTGAGTATCATTACTGTATTTTAGGCTGCGTTTACCTGAGGGATGTACACAGTAAACATAAATACAGGAAGGAGGGGGTGAATAAAGGGACAATGAGGGAAGGCAAGGGAGGAGAAAGCAGGCCAGCACGGAGGATGTTACCAGGTAAATGGATGCGGCAGAGCTCACAATGGCAACACAGAGACCACTGGTTAGGATAAGCTGTGACTTTTCACAACCATTCAAGTGGGACTACCTATCCACCCACCCATCCATCCATTAATTAACTCACTGTCTCATCAAAAAAGCAGTGGATGAACATACCCTATGCATTAAGTCTCTCAGAGGCACCTGGTACACAGCAATAAAGAAAACAGTTACAACTCTGGCTCTCCCAATGTTACACAGTAATGGGGAGACAGGCCATAAACAAGTAAACAAAATAGAATCCATTACTACAACAGCTGACAATTAATGATGCGTCAGAAAACAAGGCAGAGGAGGGGGCTTGAGTTTTTAAGCAGACTGGTCAGAGCAGGCGTCTGTGATGAGGTGACATTGGAGTAGACACGACAGAGACAGGAACCAGGACAGCCACAGGGCAGAAAATGGATGAGCAAGACAGAGGTCCTTGAGGCACAGGCATAGTGCTCAGGTCAGAAACACAGGAAGCAGCAACACAGTGTCACAGGAAGGCTGAGGACGGGAAACCCAAACAGAGAGGGCATGGGGAGCCAGATCAGGCACAACCCTGGGGGCCACATGAAGGATGTCGGACTGTATGAGTGGGATGGGACAGCCTGCAAGGACAAACAGAGAAGTGACCTGACCTGCCTGCTGTTGGAGAACAGACCACAGGAAGGCACATGCACACGCAGGAGGCAGTGAGAAGCTGCTGTGAGGAAGTGGAGTCAGGAAAGCCTGGAGGCTTGGGCCAGGGCAGCCACCCTGGTGGCAGGGAGAAGGACAGCACCTTGCCTGTGCCCTGGGAGGACTTGGAGCTGCCTGCTTCTCAACTGAACACCCACCTCCTTGGGGTCTGACTCTGTCATCTGAAGCTTCTCCTCTCTCCCCAAGTTAATATCCTATCTAATTTGAAGGACTAATATCCTGTAAAAAGTAAATGCTGGATGTAGTTTTAAAAAGGTGAATTCCATTACTATGACCCTCATGTGTTCTAAAGAGTTTTTCTCCAAACTCTGACTGTGATCTGCTGTTATAATACAACAGGGGATCCAATGAGCATCCTTTAAGGATTTACTCACCATTTTGGTTGCACTGAATGCCATTCCTACAGGGAAATTTACTTTATTTTATTCCATACAACAATGATGTACCTTACCAACCGATTTTAACACCAAGATATTGCAACTGCAGTTTCTATAAAACAGAAAAGTTATAGACGATACATCCAATAAGAATTAGGAAATGTAGACTCCTGGTTCAGGGATACATTTCAATTATCTGAAACTCTTAAACATTTGAAATCAAAATACTCCTGGGAACCACAGTCAAGATGGCGGCATAGGTAAACACACATTGCCTCCTCTTACAACCACATCAAAATTACAACTAAATCATCAACCTCTGCTCAGAATCATCAGAAATTGAGTTGAATTGAAGTCGGACAATTACAAATTAAAGGAACCACATCCATCCAGACTGGTAGAAGGGGCAGAGATGCAAAAAGGGTTGGTCCCTCATCCACATGTGACCGATGAATTCATCGGGAGGGTAATCTCCAAGATTGGAGTCCCACAAGGTGTCCCACTCCCACACTAGACGCCCCCACCCAGGGTTCCAGTGCCAGGAAGATAAGTCCCCACAACTTCTAGCTGCAAACACCATAAGGGATTGAGTTGGTAGAAAAAATTGCTGGAGCCCTAAGCAGCTCCTCTTGAAGAAGCCACATATGCCTTTACTCAGAATAATTCTCTCTGAGATCCAGCACCACAGGACCAACCTCAAAAGTACCAGAGGAATACAGGGACAAAGAGAAGTATCTGGAATCAAGGCAAGAGCTGGAGGACAGCTTTTCCCCAGACAGAATGGTAGGGAGAGCCAGGAAGCCAGCAGGCACGTGCCATATCTGAGACTCCATCAACTTAACACTATTCAACCTGCCCTGGAGATCCCCAGAGAGTCCAACCCACCCAACCTACAGCTCTTGACAGTAACTCTACCATGTGAATGGCTGGTCTTTGCTCATGCTTCACAACTTCCTAAATCGTTTCAGAGAAGCAACTAATACCCTCAGTGAATCCTTAGCCCCAGTCCATTTTGCTAAGAGCCTCAGGCACAGCACCAGCAGCAGCCAGCCTAAATTCACAGCTTGGCTTTGCCTGGGAGTCTCCAAGACCAGCACAAGTAGCAGCCACCTCAGTTTGCTCTATAGCTCAGGCAGGGTGACCCCGGGTAAAACACAGGTGGGGACTGACCTTGGCCTACACCACCTGGGAAACCCTGGGCCCAGCACACTGAGTGCACGGCTACAGACCATGTGGGAGCACCAACACCATGCCTTTACACAGCTGGTATGCCAGAAGTGCAGACATCGGTGGTCAGTGGTCATGGCCAAGCCTTGTAGCTGACTGGCCTGCGTAAATCCCTGACATTGACCTGCAACAGCAACCAAGGCTCAACTACAAGACGAGGGGGTTCTCAGCCCACTTGAAGAGTACATCTTAAGTACTCAGCTTGGGAGATAAGGGAGGCTGTGTCGCTGGACCCTAAAGGATACCTCCTGCCTAGGCCATAATACTAGGATAGGGAGTCACAGCAGAAATACTCAGTGCATAGAAACAAACACAGGGAGGCTGCCAAAATGAGCAGACAAAGAAACATGTCCCAGATGAAAAAACAGGTCTAAACTCCACAAAAGAACTCAACAAAATGGAGATAAACATTCTACCAGATGCAGAGCTGAAAACACTGGTTATAAGGATGCTCAAGAAACTTAGTGAGGAAGTCAGCAACATAAAAAGATCCAGGCAGAAATGAAGGATACACTAACTCAAATAAAAAACAATTTACATGGAAACAAGAATAGAGTGGATGAAACTAAGAATCAAGTCAATGAATTGGAACATAAGGAAGCAAAACACAACCAACCAGAACAACAAGATGAGAAAGGAATCCAAATAACTGAGGACAGTGTAAGGAGCCTGTAGAACAACTTCAAGTGTTCCAACATGTGCATCATAGGGGTGCCACAAGGAGAAGAGAAAGAGGAAGAAATTGGAAATCTATTTGAAAAAAATAATGAAAGAAAACTTCTCTAATTTGGTGAGAGAAATAGACATGCAAGTCCAAGAAGCACAGAGAGTCACAAACAAGATGGATGCAAAGAGGACTACTTCAAGACACATCATATATTAAAACGCCAAAGGTTAAAGCTAAAGAGAGAATTGTAAAAGCAGCAGGAGAAGAGCAGTTAAGTTACCTACAGGGGAGTTCCCATAGGACTATCACCAAGTTTCTCAAAGGAAATTTTGCAGGCTACACAGGATTGGCAAGAAATATGCACACTCATGAAATGCAAGGAACTAGAGGCAAGATTGCTCTACCCAGCAGAAACGTCATGTAGAATTGAGGGGCCCTGGCTGGTGTAGCTCAATGGATTGACCACAGGCTGTGAACCAAATGTTCGATTCCCTGCCTGGGAATCGAACATTCCCAGTCAGGGCACATGCCTGGGTTGCAGGCCAGGTCCCCAGTGGGGGCCACGTGACAGGAAACCACACTGATGTTTCTCTCCCTCTCTTTCTCCCTCCCTTCCCCTCTCTCTAAAAATAAATAAAATCATAAAAAAAGAAAAAGAAATGAGGGGCAGGTAAAGAGCTTCCCAGAGAAGAAATTAAAGGAGTTCATCATCAGCAAGCCATTCTTATATGAAATGTTAAAAGAATTTAAGAAAAAAAAGATCAAAACTATGAATAATAAGATGGCAAGAAATTTGTATCAATCATGATTGAATCTAAAAAACAAATTAAGTAGCCTGGGCTGGTAAAGCTCGGTGGATTTAGTGCCAGCCTGAAAACCAGAGGGTCGCCAGTTTGATTCCTGGTCTGGGGTGCATGCCCGGGTCCCTAGTTGGGGGTGCAAATAGGTAATTAAAGAATAGCCATGGAAACGTAGGGTACACTATAGGGAAGTAGTAGCCAAAGAACCCTTCATCATGACCCATGGAAATGAACAATGGTATGGGATAGCCTGAGAGAGTGAGGTGTGCTATTTGGAAGAGGGTAAGGGGAAAAACTGGAACAACTATAATAGCACAATTAATAAAATATAATTTTAAAAAATAAAATAAATACTCTTGTGAAATGACATTTAGTTAGAGAGGGCACCTGTCCTCACCCACATAGACCAGGTTCCTGAGGTTCTCCAGGGTCACGTCTCGGTATAACATCCTTTGGGAAGGGTCTAGCAGCCCCAGCTCCTCCTCTGTGAAGACCACAGCCACATCCTTGAATGTCACAGGCTCCTACAACACCAAACACAATCAACCTCAATGTTGCAACCGTCCACCACTGGGATAAGGGCGGCACTGACTGGGCAAGGGAGGATGGGCGGGAAATTACTCTGGATTCAGAGCGCCTCGAATCTACCTTTTGTTGTTTCCTCCTGTTCTCAATCCAGCATGTCAATTTCATACATTAATTTTCTTTTTTTTTTCATATTTTATTTATTTAAGCCCTGGCTGGTGTAGCTCAGTGGATTGAGCGCAGGCTGCGAACCAAAGCATTACAGGTTCGATTCCCAGTCAGGGCACTTAAAAAAAATCTTTAAATCTTAAAAAAAAAAAAGATTTTATTTATTTATTTATTTTTAGAAAGGGAAGGGAGGGAGAAAGAGAGAGAGAAACACCAATGTGTGGTTGCTGGGGGCCATGGCCTGCAACCCAGGCATGTGCTCTGACTGGGAATGGAACCTGCGATGCTTTGGTTTGCAGCCCGAGCTCAATCCACTGAGCTACGCCAGCCAGGACATACATTAATTTTCCATAGCCCCATCAAAACATGGGCAATTAAAAAATAATTCCTGTTAATTTCACTGGGTGTCATTTGTGGGTATTCCTACAGTAAGCACCCTGGAACTGGAACTCATGAATCACAGGGGCTGTACTTTCTGTGTGTGCATTAATACTACCAAATTGTTCCAGAATTGTTAGGTCAATTTACTTCCAAATGGGTCTGGTAGATTTATCCTTCCTTTCTCACTCATGCACTCCCTGAGCCTGGGTACTGTCACTTTGTTAAAATTTGACAAACCAATAGGTCACCCCTCCACAGAAGCTATGGCATTGGCCCTCTGTGCTCTCAAGGCACATGGCACTATCTGTGACACTACTGATGACAGCATTCAAAGTGTTAAGGTGCACAGATTTCCCTGCCAGAATACGTCAGTTCAAATCCCAAAGCTGTGTGCCCCTCCCAAGCTGTGTGATCTTAGACTAAAACACCCCTTCATCTACTTCCTCATTTGTGTGATGCTGCTCATCACAGGAAACTCTTATACATACCAATGAATGAATAGACATAAAGTTCCTATAACTGTTCTGTCAAACTTAGAAGCCAGTACTCACATGTGGCTATGGAAATATAAGGTTAAAATTACATAAAATTACAAATTCTCTCTTATGGTTGCAGTAGAACATTTCAAATGCTCCACAACCACACATGGCCTGTGGCTACCGCGTTACACAGCACAATACAGAACATGTCAATCATGGCAGGAGTTTTGCTGCACAGCACTGCCTCAGATTCTGTACACCTGGCACACAGGAGGTCCTCAATGAGTGTCAGCTATTCTCAATATAATTAGTATGGTAAGGGCAGGATTACGTTTGTATCCCAAATTTGTAATCACCTCTACTTTCTTCTCATGTTTTCATGGTACATCTTTTTCCATCCTTTTATTTTTACCTGCTTGTATCATTATATTTAAAGTGAGTTTCTTATAACATATTGTTGGGTCATTTTACTTTTATCCTCATCTGAGGATATGCATTCCTTTGAGAGAGAGAGAGGGAGAGAGAGAGAGAGAGAGAGAGAGAGAGAGAGAGAGAGAGAGAGAGGGAGGAAGGGGCAGAGAGAAAGAGAAGCATCATTGCAAGACATAAACCATTGATCAGTTGCCTCCTGTACACACTTTGACTTGGGACTGCACTGACAACCTGATTATGTGTGCTGACCATGAATCAAACCTGCAACCTTTCGGTGTAGGACAATGCTCCAATGAAGCCCCCCTGACCAAGGCAAGTTGGGTCATATCTCTCTAAACACAATTGACATTCCTACATTTTAAAAGAATATTTAGGCCATTTACATTTAATGAATTACTTAGAATAGGACCTGAGTCTGCTATTTTTTTTCATTTCTTTTCTCCTATTTTTGTGCATGCTAGCTGATCATTTTTAAAATTGTATTTTGATTTATCTATAGTGCTTTACAGTGCATCTTTATGGTTTTCGTGGTTGTGATAGGTATTACATTACTTACACATAACAGTCTACTATTGTTGTTACAGGTTCAAATGAAAAGTAGAAACCTTACTTGTCTTTAAGTGCCTTTACCCTATACCACTTATAATTAAATGCCACTGATGAACATCTCTCTCATACATCAATGTTTCTCTCCCTTCTCTGTCCCTTCCCCTCTCTCTAAAATAAATGACAATATCTAAAAATTATATATCAGAAAATGTTAGGATTTTTGCTTCATTCCTTTAGCTATTCTTTTAGTGCAAGACCACTAGTGACAAATACACTTGATTTCCTTCATGTATAAATGCCCTAATTTCCCCTTTATTCCCAAAGGATTTTCTTACAAGACAGAGAATACCGAGTTGAAAGTGCTTTTCGTTCAGCACTTGAAAAATACTTCTTTCTGATAAGAAATGCAATGTCATTTGAATTTTTTCCCTTACTGCTTTCAGGGTTTTTTCTTTCTTGTTAGTTTTCAGAAGTTAAACTGTACAATGTCTTGATGTGACTGCTTTGGGTTTCCTCCATCTGGAGTCACTTAGTTTCATGACTCTGTAGGTTTATTTCTCTCCCAAGTTACGGATATTTTCCACCATATTTCTTCAAGAACTTCTTCAGTCCCACCCTCTTCCTCTTTCTCCTCTCCTTCTGGGACCCAGATAACAGGAATATTAGACCCTTTGTTATAGTCCCATGGATCCCTGAGGTACTGATTACTTTTTCTCAGTCTATTTTTCTCTTTTATTCATATTAAATAATTTCTATTATTCTATCTTCAAGTTCTTTCCTGCTTCCCTTCATTCTGCTGTTGGGTCCATTGTTTTAATTTTTTAAACTTCATTTACCATATTTTTCAGTTCTAAAATTTTGTCTCAGTTCTACTTTATTTTTTCTATTGCTTTCCTAAGATTTTCTATTTTTCATTTCAGGTCTGTAAGTGCTTGCTGAAATAGTTTTATAATAGTGGCTTTAAAATCCTTCTCAGATGCCCTTACTGGGTGGCTCAGCTGGTTGGAGTGTCCCCCCATACACCAAGAGCTTGTGTGTTCCATCCCCCATCAGGGTGCATGCAGGAGGCAACAGGAAAGAGATCAGTGTTTCTTTCTCTCTCCTCCCTTCGTCCCTTTCCTTCTCTAAATTCAGTAAAAACGTAGGCTCAGGTGAGGACTGAAAACAATTAAAAAATGTCCTGGATGGTGTGTCTCAGTGGGTTGAGTGCCCACCCTTGAATGTAAAGGTGGCTGGTTCGATGTCTGGTGAGGGTGCATGACTGCGTTGCTGTCTAGGTCCCTGGTTGAGGGCATTCAAGGGGAAACCACACACTGACGTTTCTCTTGCACATCAATGTTTCCCTCTCTCTCATTCCCTCTCCCTTCCTCTCTCTCTAAAAGAAATACAATAAAATAATGAAATACAGTAAAATACTAAGTAAAATAAATACTTGTCAGATGGAAGAGCCTGAAGACTTCATGCTAAGTGAAACGAGCTAGTCACAAAAGGATTAGAAATGTAACTGCACTTATATGAGGTACGTAGAATAGACAGGTACATAGAAACCGAACGTAAACCTAGTATCTGGTAGTTGCCAGATACTAGGCAGAGAGGGAATAGAAGTTACTGGGTAATGGGTACAGACATTCACTTCAGGAAGCTGAAAAGACTTCTGGACTAGTGGTGATGACTCACACATTGTGAATGTACCTAATGACATTGAATGGTACACTTAAAAGCAATTAATGTGGTAAATTTCATGTTCTGCATATGTTACAGCATTAAGAAAGCATCCTTATCAGATAACCAGCATCTGTGTCATTTCACAGTTCCTGCACTGTCCCTCTCTGTGGCCTCCTATTCCTGACAGACTGTTTGTGGTCATTCTAAAAACTTATTTTCTTGTTTTTATAGATTGTATATATTTATCTTTAGACAGAGGGGGAAACAGGTAGAAAGAGAAGGAGAGAAACACCAATGTGTGGTTGCCTCTCACACGCCCCCTACTGGGGCCCTGGCCTGCAACCCAGGCCTGTGCCCTGACTGGGAATAGAACCAGCAACACTGGTCCACAGGCCTGCACTCCATCCACTGGGCCACACCAGCCAGGGCTACAAGCCCATGTTTAAAATGGGCAAATGCCTTCAAAAAACTTCACAAAGGATATACAAATGGTGAAAATGCACATGAGAAAGTATTTAACATCATTTCTTATGAGGGAAATACAAATTATAATCACAATGAGATGTCATTTCCTTGGAGCTGATAAAATAAAAAAGATCTACATTGAACAATGGACAGATGTGGAGCAACTGAAACTCTCAGATGCTGTGGGGGACGGTAAAATCATGCCACCCATTGGACAACTGTATACATTTATCTACCCTACAAGCTGAGTCATTTCACTTCTAGATGTTTACCCAAGTGACATGAAAATATACGTCCACAAGAAGACCTGTACAAAAATCCCCCTCACAGGACCTTCATGCATAAAAGTCAAAAGCTGTAGAAGGACCCAAACATCCTTCAAAAGGACAATTTTGTCTAACCTTCCAAAAGACAGCTGTCATATATTCACAAAATCTAATATAAGTCAACAATAAAAAAGTACAACACATTGATACACACAACAAAGACCGATGTTGAAAACACTGTGCTGAGTGGAAGAAAACAGGTACAAGATTATATACTGTACAGACTCATTACATACATTTTATTTAAAAACAAGTCAACTAATCATGTGATGACAGATCAGAACAGCAGATGGCTCCCAGAAGGAGGAAATTGACTTGAAAGGCACAGGAGAGAACTTTGAGGGGTAAAAGAAATGTTCTATTTCTGGTTTTGGGTGGTGGGCTAATGTAATTATTCAACTTTTAACACAGGGTACACCACCAGCACTGAATTGACATCTAAGATCTGTAATATTAGTAAGCAAATTATGTTTCATTTTTAAAAGCCCATGCAGAAGCTTGACGAATCAAAACAAAATTTATTCACAGGCACAGTGGCGTATATGCCTGTTTGTAGCTGCTGAAAGGTGCACAAAGAATAGAAACCCTTCTGAGACAGTGTATAGTTGTGCAAACAGGGGCCCCTCCCAAGCTCCAACCGCACCTCCCACCCTGTGGAACACAGTGAAGGTCATGTGTGAGTGAACTGTGAGACCTTGGGAGTCTGACCAGCTTTTTGGCCAAGATATTATTTTCGGATGTGGGCCCACAGTATAAACAAGCCCAGAGAAAACAGCCAGCGCTTTGAGCTCACAGGGCTTGCATGCAAGCACCCTGCATACCCTGTCTGCTTTGTTTTCTCTACTCTGTATACCCCTGTGCTGAGAAAGCCTGGGCTCAGGTAATTTCACCTGCCCACCAGGTATGCACTTCAAGTCCCAATAAACCCTCTTCTTTCACAGCCAGTCCTCTGGGTTCTTTCTATGGACTGGACAAGCAATCTGCATAACAAACTACATGAAAGAATGGCGAATCACAAAAAACTCAATTGACAATAAGTGGGGAAAAAAAGTCTGAAAAGTGAACATGTACTGTGGTTGCAACTATATAAAATATAACGTGCGGAAAATAGGTACTTAGTGGTACAATGTGGCTTTTAAAACTTTTCTTACACAAAGGGATTTGTGCCCTAGCACTTGTGAAATGAAGATGATAAAATAAAACCAAAACAAAAATCAAAACTTAAAGACAAAGACAAAAGTAGAACCACTACAAATGATAGTAACAAGCACATGAGAAACACCTGTTTTTTATCTTTCTCATGGAAGAGAAAAAAAGATGTGTTTAAGCTTTGAGAACAGGTAAAAATCAGAAAAAGTAATTGGGACAACTGGAATAGAAAAAACAACAAAAAAAAATAGATAAAAGTCAAAATTCAACTCACCTGGAACTTGGTCATTTTCTCCTGCTCCTTCTGAGCCAGTCCAAGCGTCCTGTGGAAACAGGAGTGTCAAAGGACAGAGAGGACATGAGATACAGACCCTGGCACACATGCCTGCTCTGTGTGAATTTTGAAAAGAGACCCCTCCTGTGCCTGGTCAGTTTGGCTCAGTGGTTAGGCATTGTCCAAACCAGTAGGTTGCAGGTTTGATCCCCAGTCAGGGCAAATGCCTGAGCTGCAGGTCAGGGGGCCCCAGAGGATCGATGTTTCTCTTGGGACACTGATGTTTCTTTCCCTCTCTTTCTCCCTCCCTTCCCCTCTCTGAAAATAAATAAATAAAAATCATGAGGAAAAAAACACGATAAAGAACCACCACACACTGCTAACCCGCTGGAGGCAGACTCTGGCCCACCTGTCTAGTTACATTACAACTAACCTCACTCTGGAGAGGAGAAACAGTGAAATTAAATGACTGTACAAACATAACATCTCTGCCCTCCTGGTGTGACTCAGTGGATTGAGTGGTGCCCTGCAAATCAAAGAGTGTTTGGTTCCGCGGCAGGGCACACGCCTGGGTGGCGACCCAGGTCTCCAGTAAGAGAGCGCTCCAGAGGCAGCCACATACGAACGTTTCTGTCCCTCTCTTTCACCCTCCCTTCCCTCTCTAAAAATAAATAAATTCTATCTTAAAAAAAAAAGATTATATCACTAGAAGCCGGCAGGCGTAAAAACCCAAGGGAACCCTAGCACCGAAAGACCCTCAAACCTACAACCGCGACACCTGCAAGCCACCAACTCTACGAGCCGACTACAAGCAATGAGGCCTTCGGCCCTTTTTCCTTCCAGACAGCGATACCGCACCTGCGGGTCTCAAGCCCAGGCAAGCTAGGAAGAGACCCGGAGTTCCGCACTCACTCACTTTCTAGAAGATGTTGAACAGTCTCCCACCATGCTGTCCACCAGAGAAACTTTGAGACCATACCGCTCCAGGACCGCACTTATAAACCGACCGGAACGACCGTTACAGCTCCTCCCTCCCACAGCGGAAGTGGCTCTGACTGACCGGCGCGTCCGGACTACACTTCCCAGAATCCTCGACAAGGAAGCAATTACTTTGAGTTGCCACATTCAAGAAAAAATTCACAACGGTTCCATTCAGTCCTCAGACGCTATTAGCACGTGACCTCCACTTCCATCCCTTCTTTCCTCCCCGCACCTTTGTTTTTTTAATTTTTAAAAACCACGATGCGTGACTGAAAAGTAATGTGGCTGTACACGACTAAAAGACCAACAGAGCACCTCAAAGTGGGTTTAATGCTGTTGCTTTCTTTAGGCTACTTGTGCCTCGCTGCATCGACATCTCTGATAGTTTATCTTGTGAGAGTTATTCATTACGAAATGGGGAGGTCACACAAAAAGGAAAAGTAACCATTTTTCAATCCACAAAATAAATACCAAAAGTTTCACATTTTCATTTCAGCGATAATGCTTATTTTTTTAATTTTCTGGCAAATGAAGGAAATTCTGTAACTTAGAGAAGCCTAGAACATACGTTGAAAATGTTTCTTTAGTGCACCTTCGAACATATCACCATTTACATCCACCCTCCTATTGACCTAAGATGTTTACTTTTTGACAAGGTGGTTGAAATAAGGTATGATTATTCAAAACGCAGGTGTGGAAGTAGGGGATCCTGCCCAAAGAACAGTAGGAAATTCAACAATATAAAACAAATTTTATTTCTTTATTTTTAGAGAGAGCAAGGGAGGGAGAAAGGGGGAAACATTGGAGTGCGAGAGAAACAGCCATCTGTGTGCCTGGCCAGCCACCCGGCCTCGAGCTCTAACAGGAGGTTGAAAAAGGTTGGTCTGCAGCCACCGCCCAAGCCACTGAGCTGCAGCAGTCATGGCTCAATAACTGTTTTTTCAGCTTCCCTGAGATGGAATTGACAAATAAAATGGTAGTACATTTAAAGTGTATGTGATGACTTCAAATATGTTTAGTAAGTATATTTTGAAAGGATCCCCACAATGTAATTATTTAACACATATATCACCTCACACTGCTAACTTTTTTTTAATGGCAAGAAGGATCTACTCCCTCAGCAAATGTCAACTATAGTTGCCATGCTATACATTAGATCCTCAACCTTGATCATCTTATAACTGCAGATTTGTATCATTCAACCAGTCTCTCTGAATTTCCCCCATCTCTCCACCCCCCAGGCAATGAGCAGCATTCTAGTCTATTTCTGTGACTTTCACTTTTTTTCTGAGATTCCACATAAAATTCTAAAACACAGTATTGTTACAGAACGAATCCATGAGGGGACGCCAAAATACTCTTGCTGAAAGGATGACACCCCTTTTCCCAGGGTCCTCCTGTACTAAATTCACCTTGCTAGCTGACCGGTTATTATACATCTCAATGTCTGAGATTGGCAAAACAGAAAGGAATTATTTATTCAAAAGTTATGCAAGTTTAAGAGTGATCACTTAATGTCTTCATTGAAATCCCAAAGTCCCTTAGAATGCCCACAGACACACATAGTCCTTCCTTCTCCCTCTGCCCAGTTTAGGGTACTGTATCTCAAGAAAAGAAAAAGTCTGTAGCTGAGGTAGCTCCTCAGATCTTTCCACTAATCCACACACGACTGCCCGGCCTCCCTCGGTACCCAGGGCCTTCAGCTGTGATCTCCAGTTAATCGAAAAACACATAGAACCTTTTCATGGCCCACCAGCAAGTCCTTTCACCCCTTTTCTTCCCAACAAGGTCTCTCCTGCTTCCTAAGACACGTGCCAAAATGGAACAACCAAAAGACTTGTGGTCCCAACTCTGCAGGGCAGCCTGTCCTGGGTTTAAATCCCAGCACCAATCCTCCTCTGTAGCCCCTTTTCCCACTCCTCCCACAATCCTCCAACGTACCAGCATCCCCCAACTTTTCCACCTTTTGTGGGCTGCTATAGAAAGTCCAGGTAAGTGTGGCCCCCTGGCGTGGACCCAATCATCTCCAAGCTCTCACACAGGCCCAGTAACCAGGGGGAGATGCCTCCAAGACACATCTTAGGTTGAAGTCACTCCCATCTCCCCAGCTCAAAGCAAGCCCACAGCTGTTCAACATATCCATGAAACCAATTAAGTTACAGATCCGTTAAATGTCCATGCCTGAGATGACTTGTAACAGTGCTGCTATGCAAAACAGCTCACTGGCTGTCCTCCATGTGTGCCAACACCTAGGTCAGACTTCTGAGGGTGATGACATCCTATATATATATAAATTTTTTTTTAATATTTCCTGGACATTCTGTGTTACGAACCCCATTACAAATGCCTGTTTGGGGGGACTCTGGCTGCACCCTTTATCAGTATTATTCTTTGTCTGTCTGGCTCATTTCATTTAGTGAAATGCCCTCCAGTTTTACTCATATTTTCACAAATATTATTCCATATTTTTACTAAACAAACTAGAGGCTCAATGTTATTCATGTCTTAAGAAATACTACATGGGTGGTTCTGGTTGTATCTCCTGGAAGCTTCCAAAACACACTAAAAGAACATAGGACAAGAAGACAACCTCTACAAAATACCAAGACTCACTGCACAGTTAAGGTAAATGAAGCCCTGTGGTACTGGTGAAAGTACTGAAAAATAGACCAAAGTGGATTGAGAAACAAGACACACCTCTGATTATGTATAGTTACTGATTTTCTTTCAAAATGGTACTGCAAAGTAGTGGGGAATGAAAAAGAATTTCACTAACTGGTATAGGAACAACTAAATGAATTTCAAAAAACAGAAAATGAGAAGGAGGGAGAAAGTGAGAGGGAGCAGCAGAGGGAGAGAATGACAGAGACAGATCAATCACTTAAAAAAAGGACATTCTTGTCTCAGACCGGTTTCCTCATCAGGGTACAAGCCTAGGTTGCAGGTTTGACCCCTTGGGGGTGCACAGAATAGGCAACCAATTGCTCTTTCTTTGCCACATTGTTGTGGTTCTCCTGCACTCCCTCCTGTTCCCTATCAATAAGCATGTCCTCAGGTGAGAATTTTTGGGGGGGAAAAAAGGGAGGGGGGTGGAGATTGTAAATTATCTTTTATCTACTTATTCAGAACTTTCAAGGAAGAGTGGAGTGACAATGGAGATGGATTTTCCATGGACGTGCAGGCATCTGTGATTATAATGACATTACAATTATATCTGGATCCGTGCAGGACACTGGGCTCCAGGCAGAGCGGAGGATGAAATGAAGCAGAGCGAGTCCCAGGACAGCCAGGGGCAAGCAATGGCGGTGACTTGGAGGATAGGGGTGGAGAAACCGCCAGAAGAGCCATGTTGACGGGAGAGACCTGGTTCTTCTTGCTGACCCATGTAAAGAATTACAGATCAGTAAATCAATGAGTATGTCATCAGTTTATTAGTGATCCATTCCCATGGAAGAAAAGAGGACTGGGTAGAGCGGGAGATGAAAGGCAGTTTTATGACAAAGCAGGACAGCAAAAGTAAGAGCAGCTGAAGACCAGGTGGCAACCCCCAGGCAGTCTGAGGATCTGGGGCACGAGGTCCAGTGGCCTGAGAGCCAAGAGCAATCTGAGCACCAGAGAAAGAGAGAGTGAACGTCCTTTGTTCTGAGGACTCATACAGTTGGTGGGTAGGAGAAAAAAGTTACATATGGATTAATGGGTAAATGTGGTGCCAGGTTACCTGGGGGAATGTGACTACCCAAACATAAGTATGTGTGGGGGTCTGTTAGCCGAACCCTTATCTGCTGCAGACTCCATTTGTTCATCTTGTAAAACACATGTGACTGGACATAGTTAATTAAAATTGGGGCACTTTCCAAAGTTATCCATGAGCTCTTTCTGTAAGCATCAGGGAATTCCTCATAAAACAGATAGTGACCAGAGGTAGACAATTTACCAAAGTTGTTTTATGGGCTTCTTCTTGGGCACTGGGGACCCTCTCCTGCATTTCAGGCCCTGGGATGAAAGCAGTTTCAAGGCTTTCTTTCCCAGATCCTGGAAATACTACACAGAATTTCAAGGACTTCCCTCCTTTCTTGCTAACATAGTTTCTTGTGATTCTGGAACACTTGGTGACATTATCAGACCAGGCTGACGACTTGAGTTTCCTTGAGAGACCTGTTTCTTTCCTCTTCCCCGCCTTGGTTTATCTATTCTACCTGAGTGGTAAAATGCCTTTCCTTGCAAGCAGGATGCTAGATGCTGGTCAATAACAGCATTGCAGTCCCAGAGTTCTTCCTGTGCTATCTCCTGCCTCACCATGGCAACATCTGCCCTACCTCCCAGGCTCAGTAAATTGTAGAAATGACAAATCAACCATCTTTTGTCAGAAAAACATAGCCCTGAGAGCTTTCCCTACACTGTGAACCTATTTTTTCATCTCAAAGTCTTTTACAATTACCCTGTGACATTTTTCTTGCTTCATTAGCTTTTAAGGGTTTTAATTGCATGTATCTGTGAATTATTGATTCACATAAAATGTATGGGTGTTTGGGCACAGGCATGTCTCCATAGACTGGATAAACGTTCCTGAACACAGAGACGTGTCTTTATGTCCTCTTAGAGAAGACACCTGTCTACACCAGCCAGTGCTCCTCTGTCCAGAACTTGGCAACAAAAGGCAGTCACAGGAAGATTATAACAATGAGGGATAATTTCTTTCATGGTAATCAGTACAAGTGTTTGCTTACTTCCTAATTTGGAGGCAAGTTGAAAACTAGTGTACAATCTTTGATATTTATATTTCTCATATCTTATTGATGACAGTTTCTTTCCATTCAGTTCAGAGAATACCTTATACAGTTTGTGTAATTTCTTCAAATACTTCATACATTTTGTATGATTTCTTCATAAATTTTGAGTGATTTTTTTAAATTTCTGAAGACGACGCAACTTGTGGCCCAATAAGTGGTCTATTACTGTACAATATGCCAAATCCACTTGAGAAAAAATTATGCATTAGGCTGATTTTTAAAAGCTCGAATGGTTTAAAGAGCTAAAACTTTAAGTCC